CTTAATATCCAAATGTTTATCTTAAAAACAGAAAGACAAGTAACCGCTATATTAAAAAAAGAAGCTAATCAGGCAACGATGTCAAAAGGTTATTTTGTACTTGTTTCAAATACGTATCATTATAATAATTGGTATCCGCGATTTTTTATAAGAGTTGTAGAGCAAAGTGTGTTTTATAACGTGCCTTTACTGGGTCGACTTGTATCTATGCAATGGAAACTGACGAACTGGAATTTACCCATTTTACGTGTCGATAACGATTGTCAGAAACAATTTTATTACATTTGAATAAATCTTTCTTTCAAGCCGAAAAGCACGATTGCTTTATTCCAGCAGAATTAAGCAAAACTCTGTAGATTTGTATAAAATATGAATTTACAAAAAACATTTTCGGTACTCGAACATACATACATAATACCTACTTATGTTTTTTCTCTGTAGATTGGTATACGATCTCACAGCTAATCTGGTGTTTGGAAGCATTAATAATTATACATAATTAATAAAGGAGAATGATGAATAGGTTATTAATGTAATCCACATTATCCAAATAATCCAGACTGATGTTGATCTCAATTTTTTTTTTAGCGGTAGGCAGCGGCTTGGCTCTGCCCCTGGCATTGCTGAAGTCCATGGGCAACGGTAACCACTCACCATCAGGTGGGCCGTATACTCGTCTGCCTACAAGGGCAATAAAAAAATAAAAATAAAGTCTCGAAGACATTATTTATCCGTCTACATACGCTCAAACATAAATTACTTTACTATATAGCAGTGGTACTCAACCTTTTTTTCAAGGAGGCCACAAACAAATCGCAGTTTAGTTTAGTTTGAAGTGGTTTAACAAATTTTTTTAAGAAAATGAGCTTTATGCTTTGATCAACATATGACCTAAGGACCTTAATTACTCGTAAAATCGAAAAACAAAAAATTAGGATTTCGTTCGATTCGATTATATTTTTAGCGTTTAAGGACCAACAAATAATAATTTAGGGTTAAACCACTTCAATTCTAAACGTGCGAAATTTTCGTGATCGTGTCGCGGGCCGAAAAAAATAATATAATTAAGAGTATACTGGGAGGATACTAGGAACATAGTATATGTTTCACTGGTGGTAGGACCTCTTGTGAGTCCGCACGGGTAGGTACCACCACCCTGCCTATTTCTGCCGTGAAGCAGTAATGCGTTTCGGTTTGAAGGGTGGGGCAGCCGTTGTAACTATACTTGAGACCTTAGAACTTATATCTCAAGGTGGGTGACGCATTTACGTTGTAGATGTCTATGGGCTTCAGTAACCATTTAGCATCAAGTGGGCTGTGAGCTCGTCCACTCATCTAAGTAATAAAAAATATGTACATATATGGTCTTCAAAGCTAGTCGTATACCGCGTGAATGACAATACGTTGAACAAGACCTTAAGGCGATCGACTTCAAGAAATAAAGAGAGGAAGCCCGCCGTTAATCCGTCTGGAGTGGTATACTGCTTTTACGCAAAATTTTAATTTTCATAATTACTAGTGGTACGACCTGTTGTGAGTCCGCAGTCCGGGTAGGTACCACCACCCTGCTTATTTCTGCCGTGAAGCAGTAATGCGTTTCGTTTTGAAGGATGGGACAGCCGTTGTCGCTATACTGAGACCTTAGAACTGATATCTCAAGGCGGGTGGCGGCATTTATGTTGTAGATGTCTATGGGCCCCGGTAACCGTTTAACACCAGGGGGGCCGTGAGCTCGTCCACCCATCCAAGCAAAAAATAAATAAAAGAAACCAGCAACAGGTACACCATGTTTAGCTTTACATATTATTCCATATTCTGTCGAAAGCAGATATACTTACGGACCAACTGAGGGTAAGTAAGTGCTTATTGACCCTTATGGACATCAGCAATGCCAGGAAGATAACACGGCAGTTTTCTGTAGCTAAGGGCACTTCGAAGGTCTTCAAGATCAATTAAAAAAATCTATAAATTTAATTTTTTTTGTCTAATTTTATTATTGTTAAGCATATACTTAGTCTTAATGTTTTACTTTTTGCTATTGTATTGTACACTTTCCCAATTACCATAAGCTCTGTCTCTGATTTAACTATAGATAGCAGCTGGCAGAAAACTTACGTCTAAGCTTTTACCTCATACAATATAAAGTGTGCTTTCTGTTTAAGGTTTTTGTGCTCATCAAAGAATAATTCAAAGCATACGATTTGTTTTTTTTTTATTGTTGTTTTTACTAACATAAATCTTGGTTTTACAGGTTTTAATGAGTGTTCGCCTTATTGGCTAGTTGTCTTTAAAGCTAGTACTACCCAGTGAGAGAGTCTTGGTTTAGAAACAATAACTCTAGCTTAATAAATTCTAGGTTAGGACCTATTTCTAGTGATAGACACCTAAAGAACGTTCATATATTTATTATGTACTATACTATAGTGACTGTACTGTTATCTATATATATAAAAATGAATTGCTGTTCGTTAGTCTCGCTAAAACTCGAGAACGGCTGGACCGATTTGGCTAATTTTGGTCTTGAATTATTCGTGGAAGTCCAGAGAAGGTTTAAAAGGTGAATAAATATGAAAATGCTCGGAATTATATAAAAACAAACAAATTTGTTTTTCTTTTGATGTGTCTCCTGTCGGGCGGATTCCTTTTGGTTTTTTTTAAGTTTGTTTTACACAAAAGCTTAGGTCTTTTATTTATCGATTGAGGCAGTACGAAGCATGCCAGGTCGGCTAGTATAGTATAGTTTAGTATTGGTGAAAAAATAAATTTTCAATGGAATAATTTAAAACAACAACTCCCGTACTTTTTATTATATTTGTGTATTTTTTATTGTATTTACTGCCCCATAAAGCAAAAGAAGTATACAGCCCACGTTATAATTAGTGGTTACTAATACTTATGGACATCAACAATGCATACATAATTAACGGCAGGCAGCGGCTTGGCTCTGCCCCAGAATTGCTGAAGTCCATGGACGATGGTAACCACTCATCATCAGGTGGGCCGTATACTCGTCTGCTTACAAGGGCAATAAAAAAAAAGCATAACAATGACTATTCTAACTTGAGGAAGTTTAATGTGAAACGGTAATTTATTTTATAATTTTACTAACTTTGCACCCACAGCTTAGCCTGTGTAGTGTAAGCTTGACATCTCGTGGTCGGAGACCCGTATTCAATAGTCAGGTGAAAGACAGACCTACATTACTTTTCTATTTCCATATCAATTTTTGCTAAATCGATTCGCTGTTTTCTGCGTGAAAACGTAACATACAAAGAGTACCTTCAGTAATAATAATTATTTGCTATGTATACCTTCTTACAGCTAACAATATAAAAGTAAATTAATTTTTTTTATTTTTTATTGACGGTATAGGTTTTATGTGCCTTCAGATTTTAATTGTACAAGCCCTTGTAACTATACTTGAGATCTAAGAACTTATATCTCAAGGCGGGTGGCGCATTTACGTCGTAGATGTCTATGGGATCCAATAACCACTTAACACCAGGTGGGCTGTGAGCTCGTCCACCCATCTAAGCAATAATAAAAAAAACCTTAATCTGCTCCAAATTCTGTATATCTCTGAAAGCAATATGAAAATCTGTTTTCAGCAGTTCCAGAGCTGTGCACGACAAACAACCGGACTGCGAGAAAATAATTTATAAAAAACCCCATTTCTATTTTTATTATTTTAATCAATGTACAGATAAACCGGATTCTATTCTTTTATTATATCTTACTATTTTCTATTACTATGCTTTACTATTCTAATTTGTAGTGTTTCAATAATTTTTTTTTGTTAACTCTATTGCTTTCTGGTTTAACTAAAAAAATATTGAGTTAGTTCAAGCTTTAATGCACAGAATTTGTTGTTTTCTTAAACACACGGTTATAATTTAATGTAAGGTTGTAAATATCATTCAGAATTTTCCGTCAAATAGTAAAAGGTAAAAGCAGGATTTGATTAATACATTACTTATGTTAAAAAAAATTTATGTCATAAAATGCTAATCGTCACCAGATGAGCTCAATGTTCGTCTAGATACTAAAGGTCGAGCTAAAAAAGGGCTTAGGATTCCGTAATCGATTGTGTCCACCCATCTGAACATTTTTTTTTTTTTTATTTTTTTTTTTATTTTTTTATTTTTTTTTTCGGGCCGGGGGCCGAACCTCCTACGAGGTCCCCGCGCCTAGGGGGCGCGCGGGGTATGTGAGACTCAACGATCTGCAGGTGTTGAGAGCAGATCGTTGATCGTGTCTGCCCGTAGTTCAATCTTAATATTAATAGGCTATTAACTTTTTCGTCACTACATTCTTGGCAGAGCGGTCGTAACCGCCATGTATTCTTTACTATTAACACTAAATAGTAAATATTTGCAAGTCTGTATATGGCATTGCCGATATTCATCAATGACGGTAGCCCCTTACGATTCAACGTATTACAGGTTCATATGCCTTTGAAGGAACTAAAAAATACACTAAATTTACGAGAAACCATAATCTATAAGTGCATTTTACATAGTCTTAAATGTTAAGAAAACATTCTGTAGTCGAGGATTATTAGAAAATTTAATAAATATGTAGATAACAGAAACAGTGTATAAAACAAAACTAGCTTTATCTTTAAAGCTGTATTCTGTTATTTCTACCTTATAATAAAACAAGCAACTAGATTTAAATAGGAATATCGTAAGCCAATAATCCAAAGAACCAAGCCAAAGATTTATAACAAAGAAAGTCTTTTAAGTTTTAATAATTTTCAAGTTCAAATCTTCAAAAGAATCCCTCAACAACAAATATTACATTATTAGTACACTTTGCAAAAAATTTCTGAGCAAAATATGAGCATAACTTAACCACACATTACGGTTTCAATATAACAGACTTCCAATTACAGAGCTTTCAGGAAAGCATTGTGTCTTACGCGTTGATGTCTTACCCATGCAGGAAATTTATACTCTATCTTATTTTTTAAATATAAGTTTAAATATTTTTTTACTTACTGTAGAAACAGGAGTTGGACTCCAGAAGAATATCAGAAGAGCAGCGGGCACAAGATGTAGCGCGTGAAGGCGCGCACGCGCCGGGCCCGACATGGCTGCGCCACACTACTGGATGCCCGCCCTCTCGGTAGCTCGGGGACGAAGGCGATACGGCCACTTTTTGCGGGGCGGGGGTGACCAGACTACTGCCCGAGCTCTCCTCTTTCTTTTAGTATCCCGGCACAAACGGCGCGCGCGCACGGGACTCAGGCGCAGCGCGCTTAGTGCCATGGTGGTCTACGTACTGTGGTAAGACATTTTACGACTTTGTGCTAAATTACTTAACTCTATTATTAGTTTAAAATAAACAACTACTCATTTAAATGTATTTAGTTAAAATTAAATATAGTGCAATACCGTATTTGAAGCTTATAATAAACAACTAATATTTAAGGTTTTTATTTTATTTAAATCATAAGTTTAATTTTTATTTATTTTTGTTTTGAAGGTTAGTAGCTGCTCTGGCACCTAAAATAATCGGAGTAAGCTCGGTGAGTTAATTTTAATATTTTTTTATAATTTCACCTTCACTTAAAGATTATAAAATGTCTAAAACTTAGGTTTTGGAATGTTAAGGTTACGGAGGGGTGAGGTAACGGGCGCGGTTCTCTCTGCTCGTCCGTTCGCTTACAATCCTTTTTTTTGCATTTATATACCTAAAGCTTAGGTTGGTGAATTCTGACGAGCGAAATTTCCTTGTATGAAAATTTCACAAATTTAAAAGTTTTAGTCTATTTTATGTAAAAAGTTACTAGTTTAGTTTAATAAAATTATTAGGACTGTTTTATGATCCATTTACAATCAAGCTCATTGTTAATATAGAAACATTTTATGCTGCGATGACCGACAAAATTTATCACGGCTCGGATGTGTGTGTCGGTATTGCGCAAACTGTTTTCTATAGATTTGAAAATCGATATATTAATTAAAGATTTATTTGCATATACATTATCTGTAATTTTAAAGACTAAAGGAAAAAAGTTGGTTTAAATAGGTTAAATATTTCAATTTTTCTGTCTAATTTTATACTTTTTCAATTTTCAACCTACTCTTCTACTACTAACCTATATTGTATTGAAATAAAATATTAGCTTAGTAAGTGAAATAGTAAATGTATTTATGTAAAAAGTAAGTACATAAATAAATGAAACTAGCAGTCGATAATCACATAAAAGGCGCATGATAAATTTTTAATATCGAAAGATGTGGATGGCTTGTTTTGTGCAGGATTTATTAAAGATTTGAAGTTAAAAAATGTTTATTTGTGAAATTTAAATACATCGAAAATACTTAAATCTTAAATATAATCGGATAAAATATAGCGGATAAGTAAAAAAATTCCACTTATTGCGTAAATAAAACTATATGGTTACATAAGAGGTCACACGATAACTTTTAAATATCGGCAGATTTAAGTAATTCCTTTAGAGTTTTGTTTTGTGCAACATTTATTGAAAATTTTAAAAGTTTAATTATGTTTTTGGTGTAATGACATCTTAATATTTTTAATACATTTAGAAATACTTAAAACTTAATTGCAATCGTAAAAAGTGTACCAGAAAAATTATGTAATTCCATTTACATCTACAAAGTCTACTACGTCTACAACACTGCCTGTTTGAGCATCTGTCTCATCATCTCTATTACCTTAGACTAATATTTATCCTATATCCTCAATAGCGGAGTACACCATTAAATTAATATGGAAGTGTAATTATAACCATAATGTTTTCTATTGAGTCGTTTACTGTAGGATATCCTGGGTGAAGCAAGGAATTGCTCCAATGACCATGTTGGTTATGATCCAATGACCGGATCATTCCGTGAGCGAATCTATTTACATAAATATCGGTTGCCTATTGAGTCTGGTGACACAGGAGGCTCTGGGCTAAAGTTTAGGCGCAGTCGAATTGAAAATTGAGATGAAAAAAGGGTATAGTAGGGGTTCGATTACTTACCGCATTTAGGGTTATGATCTGCTGATTATCTCGCAACTTATGAAGAGGCATATTTTGTGATCATATAAGAGCCTGTTTACGTTTCAGTCAGTGGCCAAACAAGATAGCCGCATTTGGTTTGACTTGATTCATTTATCGTACATTATTGTTCTAATAGGTCCGTTGATCATAAACCGTCAAGATATTGACTTAAAATTCATACGATCACGGACAGTTCTGTTCTACGAAAATAGGTGAAAAGCAAAAAGTCATCTACTCCTACTTAATGTACTTAAAAATTTAAATTATAATGGGTTTAATTGATAATGGATAAAAAGAAAAACTTTATTATTATTTTTAATTTTGTTGCTGAAAAATTTTTTTTAGGCTTTATTATGTTTGAACCGTAACCGCAACGACGGAACCCTTCATCATTCATAGACGACACACACATGACCTTTTTAATCTTAACTTTAATTTTAAAAATACTTAGTTTTAAAAAAAACTTTAGTTAGTACAAATATTATGGTGTAGATAGAATTAAATCGTTTTAATTTTTATAGAATTAATTTTTATTTATGATGATAAATAATTTATATTTTCTTGGAATACAACGTACAATGTAACATTAGAACCAATCTTTTTCGTCATTTTTTTACTGCTTAAACATTTGCCACCTTCTAGAATTTTATTCCAAGGAAAAGTGCAGTGCTTTTGGTATTACTGTCGATTTTTAGGTAACTATTTTCCATGATGTTGGTTGCTTGTACGTATAACACGGATCAAAGATAAATTCTTGATCAATTTCCAATTAAAATTTAATGGAAATTTATTTATTTAATCACAAAATATTTTTCGGTTCTGAGGTTACAGAACTCATAAATGCCACACGACACGAGTATGAAGTTAAACAATTAAAAGTGTTTTTTTATAACATGGCCACGACTCGTGATAACCTAAAAAAATAATCTACTATACATTTTATGATGTCTTATTTCATTTAGTTCGATTTAAAGATAGGATGTTCGACACATGTATTTGCTCCGCATGATTGACATAAATGATAACTTTCTGGTATGAAATACAAGATATTGTTGTTTATCGGACTTCTGACGTTTCGGTATAAAACAAGCGACTAATAAAACCTTGATGCTTTTGTTCATAACCCAATTTATAAGACAAGTAAATAAACTCTAGAATAGAAAGTACATAAAATTCTGAAGTTTGAGGCGTTTTAAGTATCGTATCAACTATATAATAGCTTAACCATCTAACCGGGCTTCGGACAGCCTGCCGACCGAAAGGGCTGGTGGTCGTGGCGCCGACGACCGCCGGCCCGGCGTCCCGAGCGGGAGGGTGATGGGAAGATGTGCTCCGCACTAAGCGCTTCACTCTCCCCGCTTTGCCTTTTCATGAGTTCTGTTTCATGCGAGGCTCGGACGTGGATTTTAGTTTAGGTTTTAGTCGGTTCGACTCCGACATACCCCGCCCGCTATCCCCAGTGGAGGGTGGGAGTTCGGCGATTTCCTCCTGACCAAAAAAAATAAAAACCATGTTCATTGTTGTTCAATTATGAATATAATAATAATACAATATATTGAACAAAATATGTTTTTGTTATGAAACGTGCCGGTTTTTTCGTATGTTGCGCCTTAATTGAATATTTCTACGATTAACAAGTTTCATTTTACATTAGCCTTTAAATGGAATGCAGTTCAGCAAAACGAATGGTCTCAAGTTTATGTTGTTCTAATGCGAGCTTAGAATTCCTATGTGTTGCATATTATGGCATTCTTTTTTTTTTTCTAAGAAATTTAATTTTATATTTTGCAAAATAACGAATCTGATATCGATCAAATATATTTTTTAGGATACCGGTTTCAATTTACCATTGTATTTTAAAAAACATAAATATTTAGCACTGTCCTGTTTTGCAAGAATATTAATTGTGTTAAGTATCTATTCAGGACATCTGTTTCTCTATTTTGAAACAAGTATTTTTTTTCTAAGTAATTTTTTGTAAAGTAGTGCTTTTGGTTGGTTTACCTCCTAATTTTTTATGTATTTTATTACAGCAAGATGATAGATATGCGGATTGGAATAACATATATTCCAGGGATTTGCCGCCGACTAACTGGCCTCGTGAAGTGGCGCCAGATACGGAGCGACCATACGCTGTAAATCAATATGGGTTGTATAATAGAAACGATATACCACCCCAATCAAGACCGGAACCAGAATTAGGGCAAAACTTCGCTGTGTATGATCCGGACACACGTCAAAGGACATCCACAGCTATTAATCGTAATTGTACAGCTCCAGGATGCTGTGTTCCTAAATGTTTCGCTGAGAAGGGTAACAGAGTAAGTTTTATGAAATTATTTTAATATTAATTAACGAGAGATATTGCAAAATGTGTGACTAAACTTGAAATATATAACCTTCTGTTCCTAGGGATTTCCCGGCTCACCTGGACCACAAGGCCCACGTGGTCTTCCTGGCCATGAAGGTGCTGAAGGTGCGCAAGGACCTAAGGGGCAAAAAGGTCAAATAGGTCCACAGGGTCCACGTGGTCCTAAAGGTGACAAAGGCAAAACTGGAGCAAAAGGATTTGCTGGTAGAATGGGTATTCAAGGATCCCCTGGTGACCAAGGTAGACCGGGTATACCAGGAAGAGATGGTTGTAATGGAACTGATGTAAGTACTCATTATAGGCTCTAAAAAGCCATATTTAGCACTATATACTAGCAACAATAGCGTGTTCCCATTTCGAAGGGTGGATAGTATATTTACAAATATATTTAATTGATAGCAGCGTTCACGTTGTGATACCTACGGACATCAGTAACCATTTGACACCAGCTGGACCGTGAACTTATTCTTCCATCTACACAAAAAAGAAATATATGTTTAGCTAGGCTTTAATGGTCTAATTAATATGTAATAATTTAGATTAACATTAAAAGGAAAAAATATCTATGCAGGGTGAACCTGGAATAGCTGGACCAAAAGGTTCTCAAGGACCGCGTGGTTACGCTGGATCCAAAGGAGATAAGGGAGATAAAGGTGAACCAGCTCACATTGGACGATATCCGAAAGGACAAAAAGGAGAACCTGGTGCAGATGGCATGCAAGGACAACCAGGTCTGGTTGGACCTCAAGGACCAGTTGGTTTGAAAGGACCAAAAGGCAGAGTTGGTCCTGCTGTGAGTTTATCATATTTTATTTTAATTATTTTCACACGCACATACATCATATGAAAGAAATAGAAATTGTCAAAAACTTTAAGTTCCACAGAAACTAAATGTCAATAACAAAACAAAAGAGAAAATGTGATACCTAACATGAATATAAATCTACTCTACTTATTTAAATGATTTATTCAAACCCACAAACAGAAATTTCTTGATATGCATTTAAAACATCAAGCTATGTAACATAAAAGCGAATATAGTTTTTACAAATCAACTTTGTGTTAGCGCTGTGATACGGTTATGATTAATACTTTCATTAAGAAATTAGTAGAATTTTAAACAGAAAATTTATAATTTTATTGAATTTCCATATCCAACCCGGCGATGGGGCAACGCAAAGCCGCCTTCACCCGAAGCATGTCTTGTCGGATCCTCCGTATCCACTCTCGATGCTTTTGGGCTCTTTAAGGCCGATCACCTTCACGATCATCGAACTCGTAGATTACAACGAGGAGTTCGACGAGCGAACTAAACCCATAGACACAGCCCAGTGTGACTCTGCATCTTTTCAATGGGTCGCGGTTCCAAACTGGTGGTGGATTCTGCAAATTAGTGTTCTTGCTAGGGCTAGTGTTTGTTTGTTTGTTTGTTATGCTTTCACATCTTAAGTACTGAGCCAATTGTCATGAACTTTTGCACATACCATGTCAGGGGTACAGAAAAGGACAAAGGGCACCATTAATCCAAAAAAGTACTATTTACGAAGAATATTTTATTTTAAATTAACTCGAGCAAAGCGCTGTTTTCAATAATAATATTGAGAAGTATCTGAAGTAGAATGAACTCCATATTAATTTGGAACGTTTCTGAATAAAGGGCTTAACAGGACCTAAAGGAGATAAAGGTGCTAGAGGTGCAAAGGGCCACTCGATTCAAGGTGACAAAGGAGACAGAGGCGACAAAGGTGACCGAGGTCAAAGTTGTTCGCCAACTTCTTCCGTTGATTTCAATAATAAGGGAATTCACAAAAATATACAAGGAGATATGGGTGAAAAGGGTGACAAAGGAGAACCAGGTCGTATGGGACAAAAGGGTGATATTGGACCAATGGGGGAGCCTGGACTGTCAGGCCAGATGGGGATCAAAGGAGAAAAAGGCTTACGAGGAAATCCGGGTGAAAGGGTAACTTCTACAATATTATTTCTAGATTTTTTGATCGTATTTTTCGTTTGAAATCTAAATTGACAATTACTTTAATTTTCACTTCATTTTTTGTACCGACTATAAAGATGTACTTTAAAACTGAGTATTTACAGGGACGTGAAGGAATGTATGGCGCACCGGGGCCAATGGGTAATAAAGGAGAAAGAGGAAACGATGGATTATCTGGTTTAGCAGGAATACCTGGCCGAAAGGGTGAACCAGGTAGAGATGGAATTCCTGGACCTAGAGGCTTAAAAGGTGTTCCTGGTCCACCAGGGGGTCTTTCAGGTTCTCGGGGACCTCCTGGTCCCCCTGGTCCCAGAGGTTATGAGGGCCCACAAGGACCTAAAGGCACTGATGGAAGGCCGGGAGACAGAGGTCAAACAGGACCAATGGGCTCCCCAGGAAGTCAAGGTGAACCCGGAACACCAGGAATTGAGGGTCCTGCGGGACATAAAGGTGAAAAGGGAGAAGCTGGTTTTGATGGTCAAAAAGGAGAGTCTGGGCCTCGTGGATACGATGGAAATGTCGGACCCGTAGGACCTAGAGGAGAAAAAGGAGAAGATGGTCTATCCATAATTGTAAGAATATATAATTTATAAGTTCGCTAGATATTTCAATATATGTTTAAAAAAACGAATGAGTAAGAACCGGATTTTCTTGAACTTTATTACGTATTTATTCGCTTTGTTGTTGTAGTTATTGGCGGCATGATTACTGTATAACAGAAGTTCTACTTCTATTTTTTGTTACATACTGCTATAAAAATTCTTTAAATATATATATATTTGGAAATTTTATTGCAAAAAGAAATGCTCTTTTGTCTTGTAGCTTGATATTAAATGGTTATCAGAGTAAATATAAATCACAACGTCAGTATCGCCACTCTCTTTAAGATAGGTCTTAATAGGCAATAGTGTTGCACATCGGCTGTTATAGCTTCAAACGGGGACACCTGATTGTTTCACTGCAGAAATAACATAGATTTTATTACACGTGCAAACTCCAATACCCCTACCGGTGGTATTCTTTGATCTTTTATTATTTGATGTGTTCAGTATCGTGCGCAGATACTATGAACACATTTCAGTAATTAATAAATATGTAAAATAAGTTCATGTACTTTTCGATAAACTATAATAGTACTAGTAAATACCAAAACTGAAGTGAGAATATGATTAAGAAGGTTAGGGTTTCTTCATCATAGTAAAATGTTTCGTCTACAAAATGTTGAATTAATACTATTGATTACCTACGATTTGAGAAATCCTTAAACGCTTAGTACTTTTTTAAATTTATCAGGGTCCAAAAGGAAATAGTGGCTTACCTGGTTTTTCCGGAGATAAGGGTCAAAAAGGAGAAAGAGGTTATACCGGTCTTAGAGGCGTACCAGGAAATTCCACCTTTGGTACACCTGGTATTCCAGGAGAAATAGGTCTTCCCGGAGAAAAGGGAGATAAAGGAATGCCTGGTTACGACGGTTTGCCTGGAAATACTGGACCCAAGGGTAACATAGGAGGTCGCTGCAATGAGTGCTCCCCCGGATCTTCCGGTCCAAAGGGAGACCGTGGCAACGATGGAGCAGTTGGTCCACGAGGCGAGAGGGGGCCAATAGGTCCAATTGGTTTTACTGGCGAACGAGGTGCTGATGGCATGCATGGCTTGCCTGGTGCACCTGGAGCACCTGTACGTATAGTGTTTTAAAATGTGTATTTGTTAAATCATTAGCTCGAATATAAATATGTTACAATTCAGTAAATATGTAATCATTTATTATATTTAATATAAAAACACAATTACAGGGCGAACGGGGAGAAGATGGACCAACTGGTCCACCTGGAGATAGAGGAGCTGATGCCAACGTTCCGGTAAATTTAATTAAGGGTCCGAAGGGTGATAAAGGAAGTACAGGGCCCCGAGGTCCTCAGGGTCCTAAGGGTGAAATTGGTAGTGATGGTCCTAAAGGAGACCGAGGACAAGTTGGTATGCCAGGCCCAAAAGGAGACCGAGGCTATGAAGGACAGCCTGGTGTTGATGGTATACCTGGTGCAGATGGAATTCCTGGTATACCTGGAATAAAAGGAATATCTATAAAAGGAGACAAGGGCTTACCAGGTGATAGAGGGTTCAAAGGTGACAAAGGTAGTCCGGGTGATAGAGGTATAAAAGGCCAAGCAGGCCAATGTCCTGCTGATGTAAAAGAACTTACAAGAGGCGACAGAGGCGACAGGGGTGATACTGGCCCTCCAGGGCCTGCAGGTATGTTTTTAAATATTCTATCATAACTTACATATAAACTATGAATATTTCAAAATAAAAATCAGCAGAGCTAGAGTAACGCTGAAAATTTTTAACCTTTTCGGGTACGAATATCTTCCATTGAAATCTGGCAAATTTTGTGTAGTAGGCGAACTATTTGCGGTTTCGGAGCTGCTACTAATCCAAGTCGGGTCTACTAGTTTTGTTAAAAACTCTTTATTTCATAAATGTTATTGTGATGCTTGCATATCGATGGGTGAAAGGCTATTTGATTTAAGCGACATTTAGCTTAATACGCGCCATTTATCTTTGTAATTAAAGATTGTTCGTTTTATTTGGTTTGGTAACTGTTGAGATAATATCAACAGTTCGATGTTTTTAATTGAACTTCAATTAAGTTTACTTCAAATAGCTGAAGAAGTTTTTAAGTCACGTTTATTTTTGCAATTCTAAGCTTAAATGGCTCTCCTGTAAAGTTTACTTGTAAAGTTTTACTGTCTTGTAAAGGTTAGCTTTTCACCCCTTGAATATGATCTGTAGTATGCTTATAGTCCTTTATGTCTGTTTTGTTACACACAACTGACCCATGCTATAGATCAATAATACTAATAGAATTTAATGAATGCATTCACTTTCTTGATTGAGAGATATTTAAGTACTGATGTAATTTTAAAATGAGTTAAAATTAAAATCAATCCACTCTACTATATATAGGCACTGTATTTTTATACGTTCATTAAATCAGGCAAATTATTTAATTTTGATAAATATGTAACGAAACACATTACATGCAAAAACAAAAATCAAATCAAGTTAAAATTAGTTACTCGAAATCGCGAATGTTGATATACGATCATTGCAAATTAATAATTTATCTTTAACAGAATGAAGTGCTTGTCTATCCTATGCTACTTAGTGAAAATACCTTTCTAGTAGTACAGTTAAATACTACCTTTTAGATTACATTTTGTACCGCTTTGAAATACTTGGAGTAGTTTATTTTTACAATTATGGTTTATACGTGTTTAAAAATGGTGGTTTGTTTCCTTTTAAACGGTTTTATAAAATAAGGTTAGGTAAATCTTTGATGCTATGACACGCTCATAGCCTGTTAGTTAATATGCCCCTTATTATTAATCATTTGACTATTATGTAGATTGCTCCAGGGGTAGTTTTCACGGGAAATATTTTTAATAATCTAATAACCAATGTACTTACTAATTGGAATTTAACCGAAAATTGACCTTGTTTGAAGTTATATTTCGGTCAACATGAAGAGAGGTGGCCTGTTAGTTATTTTCGAGTCGTTTATTTTTTAATCATAGTGTTATTCTGACTTAAGTGATTTGTAAAATGTCATAAACGAATATTTGCTTAATTTACAGGTGAACCAGGAGAAAAGGGAGATAAAGGTTACATTGGATTGCAAGGTCAAAAAGGGGATATTGGTCCACCTGGTAGGCAGGGTCCTGTGGGAGCACGTGGGTTCCCAGGAATTCGAGGTGAAAAAGGAGAACTCGGTTCAAAAGGTTTTCCAGGAACTCCTGGTGAGAATGGGCCGCGAGGCTACCCCGGAAAACCAGGTTTTAAAGGAGATAAAGGAGAAGTCGGACCTTCCATCGTTGGTCCACCAGGCTTACCTGGTATACCAGGTCAAAAAGGTGACTCTGGTCTTCGAGGATTGCCAGGTATACCCGGTGATGATGGTCCGCCAGGTCCTCAAGGCTTACATGGAGAAAAGGGAGATCAAGGATTGGTGGGTAGACCTGGATTACCTGGTCAACCAGGTCAAAAAGGTGATGCAGGACCCGTGGGGCCCGCTGGGGTCCCAGGTATTCCTGGATTACCCGGTAAGGTTGGAGCAAAAGGACAACAAGGTTTCCCTGGAGAACCTGGTAGGCCAGGTGTTATTGGTTTGCCTGGTCAGAAAGGTGATATGGGAATCCAAGGGCCAGATGGCCAAAAAGGTTTTCCGGGTTCTCGAGGACGTCCTGGACCTCCAGGTCATCCGGGCGCACTAGGCTCACAGGGAGAAAAGGGTGATAAAGGAGAATTAGGGTATCCAGGTTTACCCGGTTCTCCAGGCCAGTCTGGACGTCCAGGTCCTGTCGGTCCTCAAGGACCTAAAGGAGATCAAGGATTTGAAGGCCCTCCAGGACTACCGGGATTACCTGGTCTATTGGGTCAAACTGGTGACAGAGGTTATACGGGCCCTAAAGGTGACAAAGGGGATGCTGGCTTAGCAGCTGAAAAGGGATCAAAAGGAGAACCTGGTCCACCTGGTCTACTTGGTATAGATGGTCTACCTGGTAGAGATGGAGAGAAAGGCGACACTGGTGAACCAGGAATACCTGGTCAAGGAATACCTGGGTATCCTGGCCAAAAAGGAGAAATGGGGATGCGTGGGTTTGATGGACTCTCGGGACCCATTGGAGAAAAAGGAAATCGTGGTCCTCAAGGAGTACCTGGTCTAAAGGGTAACTTGGGCATCTCAGGCGAGCCAGGTCGACCTGGAGTACCTGGTATCGATGGAGCACCTGGCCAGCCTGGTGATGTAGGCTTACCTGGTATTACTGGAGAAAAAGGAGATAAAGGTGAATTAGGTTTCCCCGGACGAGATGGATTAGGCGGGTTGAAAGGCGATCGTGGTCAACCTGGGGCAGAAGGTCCAATAGGACCAATAGGGTATCGAGGTCCTAAAGGAGACACGGGACTGCCAGGCGTATCCATAGATATTAAAGGTGACAAAGGAGAAGTGGGTCCAAGCGGTATTCCTGGTGAACCAGGTCAAAAGGGAGATCGAGGTCTCCCAGGATTACAAGGATTACAAGGTGAAAAAGGTGATCGTGGCTCACTAGGAGAAAAAGGAGACCAAGGTTTTACTGGGCGAATGGGAGAAAAAGGTTAATATGATTTTATTTTTCTTTACACTCTAGGCTCATGATTAGGGTTCCTAACGACCCACCACCTAACGACCACAAGTTTAATCTTTATTTGTACATAATAATATCTTATTTTTCTAATTGCTATTACAGTAACAAAAATGAATTTTACGAGTTCAATTTAATAGCAAGGATTTGTAATTAAATTTAGATAAGATTGTAGAAAATTATATTGCAAAAGACACATTGCAAAACAAACTAAAAAGCTCATGCTTGTTATTTTAATTTGGTAGTTGTCGTGAAGCAGTAATGCGTTTCGGTTCGAAGGGTGGGGTAGCCGTTGTAACTATACTGAGACCTTAGAACGTATATCTCGAGGTGGGTGGCGCATTTACGTTGTAGATGTCTATGGGCTCCAGTAACCACTTAACACTAGGTGGGCTGTGAGCTCGTCCATCCATCTAAACAATAAAATAAAAAATAAAAAGAAAATAACATCACAAGACACGGTTACGATTCACAAGACTTTAAAATTACAGAAGTCTTAAGTCCAAGTCGCGATAGGACATTTTGTAAGCCCATGGGTACCTCCGTCTTGCTTAAATATACCGCAAAAAAGTCAGTAGTTGCAGTATTATGGGCGGGACAGACACTACATGTTTTTGAACCGGATGATAGTAATTTCAAATGATTGCTCTATATCTAGGTGACACTGGTCCTATCGGTCCTACCGGCCTACCAGGCTTAACTATAAAAGGAGAAAAAGGCTTACCAGGAACTCATGGAAAACATGGGAGGCCAGGATTACCTGGTGCTCCAGGACAAAAAGGCGATCAAGGTCTACCAGGACTTCCGGGACAATTGGGTCGGCCTGGTATACCTGGGCTCCCAGGTGAAAAAGGACAAAAGGGTGATCAGGGTAATGAAGGTTTGGCAGGGCCACCAGGTCTTGTAGGTCCAACTGGACTACCTGGAACTCCTGGTATTACTGGGGAAAAAGGAGATCGAGGAGAGAAGGGGGCCACTGGGTTTGGTGCACCAGGGCAAAAAGGTGATCAAGGTCCCTCAGGTATACCAGGATTACCTGGTGAGAAAGGTGATAAAGGAGACCGTGGATTAGATGGATTACCTGGTCGAACCGGACCGATTGGTCCGCCAGGTCAGAAAGGTGATCGTGGCTATCCAGGAAGACCAGGCTTACAAGGTGAACAAGGGATGAAAGGTAATAAAGGCCAAGCGGCAGAACTCGTGTACGGTGCAAAAGGAGAACCAGGACCGCGTGGTTTGCCAGGAAATGATGGTCTACCAGGCGTAAACGGCGTTCCTGGTCGTCCAGGTAATAATGGACCCCCTGGTGAAAAGGGGGATAGAGGTTTTACTGGTGCTAGAGGTTTCCCGGGACCAAGAGGTCTCCCAGGTATACAGGGAATGGAAGGTGAAAGAGGAGAAATTGGTATGACAGGTCAAAGTGGACTTCCAGGAGCGCCTGGAGCACCATGCGTTAGTCAAGACTTCTTAACCGGAATTTTATTGGTACGACACAGTCAAAGAGAAGTCGTCCCACAATGTGAACCCAGTCACGTCAAATTATGGGATGGATATTCTTTATTGTACATAGATGGCAACGAAAAAGCCCATAATCAAGATTTAGGATATGCTGGTTCTTGTGTGAGAAAGTTCAGTACAATGCCATTCCTATTTTGTGACTTAAATGATGTCTGTAATTACGCAAGTCGTAACGACCGTAGTTATTGGTTATCCACTGGTCAACCAATACCAATGATGCCTGTTGAGGGACAAAATATTGCCAAATATATTTCAAGATGTGTGGTCTGTGAAGTACCGGCTAATGTGATTGCAGTACACAGTCAAACATTAGATATTCCGAGTTGCCCAGTTGGTTGGAATGAATTATGGATTGGTTACAGTTTTGTTATGGTGAGTTTTAAAATGTTATTCTTTATTTATATATTTCAATGCTTTTTTTTTTTTTTTTTATTGCTTAGATGGGTGGACGAGCTCACAGCCCACCTGTTGTTAAGTGGTTACTGGAGCCCATAGACATCTACAACGTAAATGCGCCACCCACCTTGAGATATAAGTTGTAAGGTCTCAGTATAGTTACAACGGCTGGCCCACGCTTCAAACCGAAACGCATTACTGCTTCACGGCAGAAATAGGCAGGGCGGTGGTACCTACCCGTGCGGACTCACAAGAGGTCCTACCACCAGTAATTACGCAAATTATAATTTTGCGGGTTTCAATTTTACTACACGATGTTATTCCTTCACCGTGGAAGTCAATCGTGAACATTTGCCGAGTACATATTTCATTAGAAAAATTGGTACCCGCCTGAGATTCGAACACCGGCGCATCGCTCAACACGAATGCACCGGACGTCTTATCCCTTAGGCCACGATGACTTCAATTTATTCTATGCAATCGTATTACAGATGTGCTTTATCTGTGTTAAATAATTTCATTTTTTAATAGGTAAGGAAGTTATTGATGAGGTATTTTAAAAATTAATTTAAATTGATAAACTTACTAAAAAACTGTTTCAAATTACAGCACACTGGTGCAGGAGGTCAAGGTGGAGGACAGGCTTTAGCAAGTCCTGGATCGTGCTTAGAAGATTTCCGTTCGATTCCATTTATAGAGTGTAATGGAGAAGGTGGAACTTGTCATCATTTTGCAAATAAACTTAGTTTCTGGCTAACTACTGTCGAAGATAGTCAACAGTTTAATGTACCGGAGCGCCAAACTCTAAAATCTGGTCAACTTCTTGAACGAGTCTCTCGATGTGCGGTTTGCATTAAGAATACGACATAGTCTCATAAATTTTTATAATTTGCGGCTACTGTATTTTTCTGTATAGGATATTGCTGTTTCTTCCTGATAAGAGAAAAAATACCATCCTTATTCAAATATTGTTATGGGAAACAATTAAAATACGGTAGTCAATTTTTAATTACAAATTTTGATTTTGTCGAAAATAATATAGTTTCAGAATTATGATTAGTGAGGCCAAAGCATTAAACATAAGAATTAAACTAATTTTAACATTATATAATAGCTTCATAAATTATATGATATTTCAAATTTTAGACAAAGAAATGTGTAATACCTAAATAATTCGTAAAAAATACCTTAGTAATTCTTAAAAATCTGAAACACTAAAGCTTATGACCATAAAGATATCATTTTCAATAGAAAAAGTGGATACATTGAAAAGATTTGGTTGAATTTGTATATATATTTTTATTTGTAATCGTTTGTCTTTGTTTGCATTATCTACTAAATGAAAAATAAATATAATTATGTTGATTATTTACATTTTATCTGTTTACAATTTTATGAACGAAACACGCTTTCCCGTGTAAAAGCAACAGGATACTAATTCTAACCTGTAAAAACGACGTGGTAACAATAAATTTGATCTAATATACCGTTAGTTATTTAAGCACTGCCACTGTAGATAGAGTCATCTTAAGGACGAATATTAATAAAGTTTAATTAATAAGTGATTTTGAATTTAATTTTTCCGGATTTAATTTTTAGGATATCTTTCATTATGGATATGGATAATTTGAGGACTTTCATATGGATAATTTGAGGACTTTTTGGTAGGAAGGCGAGATGTTATGATTTTGAATGGATTTAATTATTATTAAATTTTTTTATTGCTTGGATGGATGGACGAGCTCACAGCCCACCTGATGTTAAGTGGTTACTGGAGCCCATAGACATCTACAACGTAACGTCAACACTACAACCAGACGGCGCAGCTCACCCTAAGGACGTCCGGCCGACGGAGTCTTCGAGGCGAATCGAAGGCTCTACAACGTCGGGCGCGCTAGAGCTCGAATATATTAAGTGTATAATCTATGCGCTAGAGTGCTGGTAGCGCGCCGCGCGGCCTCTACGAGCTTACTTACTCCTGATACAGCATTAATTTTGTAACCGTTCTCGAAAAAAAATCTTTACTCGAATTCACAATAAAATGCACATCGATGAATAATAAAACGCACATATCACTATCCGTCAAATTGACAGCACTGCCAATCTACAAAAAGAATTTAGGGGAATTCCTTAGGCATAACTTTTGAATTTCTCTCAACTGAGTTGTCATGATTAAAGTGGGGTTGCAACCTGTCACGACCTATTTTGAAAATAGGAGAAATTTCCAAAATTTCGTTCGATCGAGATTTCTGGTATGGATTCAAGGGCCCCCTGAGCTTGGGGGCCCCGGGGCACTGCCCCGCCTAGCCCCTAGGTAGCTAAGCCACTGCTTCTCACTCAAACACGGACAGAGCAACATCTTTTTTTTTTTTATTGCTTAGATGTGTGGACGAGCTCACAGCCCACCTGGTGTTAAGTGGTTACTGGAGCCCATAGACATCTATAACGTAAATACGCCACACACCTTGAGATATAGTTCTAAGGTCTCAGTATTATAGTCACAACGGCTGCCCCACCCTTCAAAACCGAAACGCATTACTGTTTCACGGCAGCAAGGGCGGATCCAGCTTTGGCACCAGGAGACCCCCTCCATAGTCAAATTTAGATTCGTTCGTTCCCAAACGTTTGCCATTATACAAAGTTATTATATTATATTAAATTAATTAAATATTGAAGGTATGTAGTTACATAAAATCTGTATGGTGACAAAATATATAAATAAAATCATTATATTCAATTAGTGGTCCACCTAAGTTCTGGAACCAGCTCAGGGGGTGGTCATGATCCCCATGACCCCCCCCCCCCAGATCCGCCATTGCACGGCAGAAATAGGCGGGGCGGTGGTACCTTCCCGTGCGGATTCACAAGAGGTCCTACCACCAGTAATTACGCAAATTATAATTTTGGGGGTTTGATTTTTATTACACGATGTTATTCCTTCACCGTGGAACTCAATCGTGAACATTTGTTAAGTACGTATTTTCATTAGAAAAATTGGTACCCGCCTGCGAGATTCGAACACCGGTGCATCGTTCGATATGAATGTACCGGACGTCTTATCCTTTAGGCCACGACGACTTCTAAAGATCTAAAGATTCTAAAGATTCTAAAAATCTTAGAGTTTTATAAAAATATAATATTGTAATGGTGTAATAGTGTACAAAGTGTTTGTAATATAATTATAACATGAAGCAGAGTGTTTATAAATCACCTACAGAACCGAGTCCCCTCAAATTTAACCCTCCAACACACTTCATTTCATTTCACTTCATATTGTTATTTGCAGATAATTACTACATAAATCAAATTATTTTCTTAACCTAATTTATCTATACCGTCCCACGCTGCTAATTTAATTCATACTTACACTGATATTAATAATGGTCAACATGGACAGTTTCCCTGCGTTTTTTATTACTCATAAACTGTAAATAAATAAAACGGCGAAAAAAATATTATTACTTGACACTGGCTAATGCACAAACCATGCGAGCCACAATAAAAAAGAGCGTGTATTCGGTGTATACTGTATTGTCAATTTAATAAGTGTATAATCTATGGTCAGTGTGTAATAAGTCTCTATTAGACTTTTTGGCGGGAACGCGATGAGTGAAGTTGTGTGATTTGTTTTATTTTGTCTATTTAGTGGTTCTTCGGGTTTAAATGTGTAATAATGGTGGTTTGTTAACCGTTTAATATCTGTGAAAGTGCACAAATGTGGGAAAATGATACAAAGCAGCTGGACGTAACTTCTCGGGATCCTCCAAAAAGTCCACTGAAAAAATCTTAGTAAATGACCACCATTTTACTGAGATTATATTTTATCCCATATCATCTCATTTCATTTCATTCAATTTCATCGCAGTTGATTAATGTCTCAAATTAATCGTCTTCATTTCATTTCACTCCATAATATAATTTTTCATAAAAATATGAATATAAATTAAGACATGACTTAAAGGTCTCAGTTACCAGGTCATAAAATCCCTTAAAAAAAAAAAGTCTCTATTATCTATGAATATTGTACAAATGAGCCGAGTCAATTTATTTAGTTTAACTAGACTTTAGTTAGAAGTAAAGACGTTTTTGCTCAAATAAAATTGATGAATTGAATATGTTATAAAAATGTTCGAATGGGCGTATAGTGGTGCAAATAAAGCTGTCCCAAGAAATGTGGGCCCTGAATGTGCCTTCTTTTTGACACCCCAGAGAAAAATTATTGAAACTATAATTGTATTTCTAATATGTGTTTATTTATTAGTATGTATTTATTTTTCTTTAATTAATACCAAGTTTAAATTGGTATAAATACTTAAATTTAACTTGAATACCTAGCGAACATTGAATTCTGGCAAAAGTTTAAATCATTTCAATTAAAAACTATTCGAATTTTAGGTGAAGACTTATCCAATATTAAAAATACCCATTGATACGGATTACACCAAAAGTGACAGAGGCGGCAAACGATTGCTTTTAATCCTTTTAGCACTATTATGGGGAATGGAAATAGGGTTTAAATTTGCTTCACACACTGTGATATATTTGTTGAATCCATGTCATGTAACAACATTAATACAAGTAAGTAATGGAAAAACTTTTAGGATAATGTTTAGGACACTTTTGAACTCTACTTATATAAAATATTTAAATTTATTTTCAGATTTATTTACTAGCTGCTCCACCAAGTAAAATTGTTACAGCATTGTTTAGAATTCATTTATATTTGTTAAATGGACCTCTTCTTGCATTTTTATTTCCAGAAACAGCTTCCAGGAAGGTATATTTGTGAATTTTTTTCATTTCATAGTAAAAACATTTATGAATTTGCATTGCAAATGCAAATTTGAATTGCTAATTTTATTAATGTGAAGTTGTCATCAACAGATTTTTGTGGAAGCTGCCTTGTACTGGATACAACATGGTATGATGTGTATTATACCTTATTATTTATTGAGACTTGGAGGTAAGAAATTGTTTCTTTAGTAAAATTATTAGGTAATTTAAACAATTAGATTAATTTTGACTATTTTTTTATTTTATTTCAGGCGTATATAATATTGAACCCATAAGAGATTTTAATTGGTCTGTATTTAGCTATTGTCTAAATTTGCTCTATCATTTCATCATATTACAAATTATAGCCATTGTAAGTACAAATAACAATATTATTGATAAATTAATATTATGAAATTAACTATATCATTAAAAATGATTAACATTTTCAGCCAGCCCAAGTGAACTTGAATCATATGCTTTGTCCAGCCATCCTGGATCCATTTGACGGACCGTGGTACCGTGTTGTAGCTGTGCTTCATCAAGCATTACTATGTCCAATACTTGGCAAAGCATATTGCCTTATTGCAGAATTCTGTTTAACAAAATTTCCACCTACCAAAGTTAAACCCCAAATGAAAGACTGCTTGCAAGAAAACAAATTTCCGCACCAGCTTGCCACACATTCTCATAATGATTAAATGTTTTAAATCATTTGAATGGCCTATAATCTCATTTGAGGTGCCTAATAGAATAATAAAGTTTAAATTGTCTAATATAGAATATATAATATAATCTGTCGCGTCCACTTGGTTATGATAACATTTAAGATAATAATTAAGTCCTGAAAAACATTTTTATTCATAACTAAAGTAAATCAATGTACCCAAACGAAGAATAGCCTTAATAGGCTTAAGTTAGTTGAGCAGCTATCCTCAATAGAATTCATTTACCATAGATACAATTTCATACTCCATAAGTGGAAGCAGATAGAAGAAGCGGTATGAGGATGGTGAACTAATCATGATGAGTAATATATTCACAAGAAGTCGAATAATGTTACCAATATTAGTTACATATCACTAATACTCGCAAGGCCATAGTGTATGTCAGTCACCTCACTTTGTCATGACTAAACCCTTCGAACTGCATCAAATAACCCAATGGTAGTTGTTCGTACTTTGACTACTTCTACTACCACACTTGAAGCAAAATTGCTTCCAGAGCCAGTTGGTACAAGAACTATCATTGGCCACACTTCAGAATGTAGCAGTTCCAGGTAGAAAGTTTAATTCTAATCTGGTGATGGGTTTTGGTATGGTCAATGACATGATTGGATCATTCCATATTAAGTAGTTCTCAGAGCAGAGGTGTAGGGTAATAAGGGTATTAAATGATGAAATGTTTCCGAAAGTGTTAAGTGCAATAGCATCACTAAGAGTATTTTGCACTTGGGAGATCGTCTTGTCCGTGGGCGCTTAAAGAAAATTATAAGGAAGGTGTATGAAAATGTTTTAAAGTTAGACAAAAAGAGCCCTGTATGGAATCACGTCTCAATTTTATATAAGCCATACAATTTTTCTTCACTTGAAATGAAATGCCTTTTCTTGCTCCTTTAACTTTTATTTTTTAACGCTAACTACACGTCAAATATCTCAGAACAGTTAAAAACACATAATATTATAAAGCTTTTATAAGTACGACTGTAGGATGATCACATTACCGAGTATTTACGAAGTGTTAAAAAAAAATTAAAGTGAAAATTTAAATAATATTTTATATGATTTTTAACGTAATAAAATACAACTATGCAAAATCAATAGAACAAAAAATTTCATTTTAGTATAAATTATAATTATATTATAATTAATTATGTATAATAAAATTAATAATAATATAATTAAATTATAATTAATTTAAACGTATTATAAGAATTTTCTTGTCGTTAGTTATGTCGTCCTCCAGTTAAAAAGTAAAGTAAAGGCGATGATAAATTAGAAAAAGTTTAAACATCGCCACGTCTTTGAAATGGTTCCAAGAATAATTTACATTGTACACGGTCTGGTTTTTTTTTTAAATACATTACACGGTATTAGTTAGAAACATATTTTCAACCACAGAGACCACAATTGAATATTGAAATGTCGTTCATAAAGCGGTCTTTACAATTCGTAAGTTACTACGCATACATTGTATTCACTTTATAATGTTTATAGTTAATTGATAATGCAAAAGACAGATCATGGTGTAGCTATTTCTAGGTTACCCCTGAAAATAACACCAGTATAATAAAACGCCAATGATTTTTTGGTAATACCTTAGTCAAGTTTATGAACATTATGCGGAACTGTATGCAATAAAATTGGGAGCAGCAAAATCGTTTATTTTTTCCTTATGTGTTGTTCCTACATAAAGTACGTAGTTAGTTACGTACGTGCTGGTAGGTCTATACATCAAATAAACTTTGTTACATAGGTATGAACATACATAGATTGCGCGACCTATGCAAAATTTTAATCGTAGTGTTTAAAATTGATTACATACATTGTAATAGGGGTATTTATTAACTGCATGTTGTTTATTTTGATCTGAAACTGAGCAAACATTCAATTCAAAAATCAAATCTTGGATCCCAGGGCTATATTAATTTTTCTTGAATCTTCAATTTCACGTCGCCGCCTGCTGTCGCGTCAGAACAAATACGTACCTAAGTACCTACCTAATAAAGTGGATTGAGACTGGCGAGTGACATAAAAAACAATCTAATTAACTTATTGGACTAGGCAGGGCATCGGCACACTTTATCGACTTATTTTAATTTTATGCTCGTAAGTATTGTGTATCAGTATTGCATAACTTCTATAATTTGTGTAAAAGTTTCGTTGTAGGGCGTATCCTGAGCTCACGGGTACGTACCACCATCTTGCTCTTTCTAAAATGAGAAGTACCGAATGCCATATGGATCGAAGGCTATATGCAATATGATCGAAACATTGACTTCTCGTTCCAAGGTAGGGGGTTGACTGATGACACTCATTTTGTGGTCCAATCGTTGGGCTCAGATCAACGGAGTGTTAGATTCTGCGAAGCACTGCTCTTGCTAGGGTTAGTGTTAGCAAATTCTCTCAGATTCACCCCGTGAGCTCGCTTACCTGTGCGTAGCTAGAATAGCCCCTTAGGCTACCAGCGAATAGGTAGGAAAAATAATAATTAGATGAAAACCCATAACGAATCACGGATTAGTCGTGCCGCACATATACAGTTACAAAGTTTGTTGAATTTGTTGAACACTTCCTTTTGTTTAACTATATTGTTGGTGCTCTCCAATGACCCTAAATTATAAAAGTTTATTTATTTTAGAATAAACTGATACAGGGAAATATAACGACCTCGAATGTAAAATTTCCCATATTTACTAGAGTACCTAAGCGCTGCATGGGTATTCAACAATTTTCGTTTTTCCCATGTTCATATTCCATCCACTCTGATAGAAGCTCTACTGAGGTCATTGAACGTTTCACCCCTGTACAATTTTTGTACAGTACAAGAATATTTATATTTATGTACTCATCGTGGCCTAAGGGATAAGACGTCCGGTGCATTCGTTTAGAGCGATGCAACGGTGTTCGAATCCCACAGGCGGGTACCAATTTTTGCGTAATATTTTGAGAGTCCGCACGGGTAGGTACCACCGCCCTGCCTATTTTCGCCGTGAAGCAGTAATGCGTTTCGGTTTGAAGGGTGGGGTTATCGTAACTATATTGGGACCTTAGAAAATATCTCAAGGTGGGTGGCGCATTTACGTTGTAGATTTCTATAGGCTCCAGTAACCACTTAACACCAGGTGGGCTGTGAGCTCGTCCACCCAAGTAAGCAATAAAAAAAAATTACTAGGTATTTGCTAGGTAGGTCCAATTTCGAAAAAGAAGTCAATCGTCGAATCCAACTCGGACGGGCAGCGTTCGTAAAGTTACGTAAAATCTTCTCATCATAAATACTAGTGTCTCAAGACAAAAGTCTTTGACCAGTGTGTGTTGCCAGTGATGACATATGGCACTGAAACGTTCCCGCTCATAATAGGCTTTATCAGAAAGCTCAAGATCACCCAAAGATCAATGGAGAAGGCTAAGCTCGGAGTTTCCTTCCGAGATCAAATCAAGAATGAGGAGATTCGCAGGAAAACCATGGTAACCGATATAGCCGAAAGGATTGCGAAGTTGAAGTGGCAGTGGGCAGAGCACATTGCTCATAGATAGCCGTTGGGGTTGAAAAGTTCTCGAGTGGCGACCACGTAACGGAAGACTTAGCGTGGGTAGGCCATCTATGGGTAGGCCTCCCACACAGTGGACCGACGCCCTATTGAGGTTTGCAGGGATCCGCTGGATGCAGACAACGCCTGACCAGTCATTGTGACGGGGCTTGGAGGAGGCTTTGTTCGGCAGTGAACTGAAAGATAGATAGATAGAAAAAACTGATACAAAATATTAAAATATATTAATTCTCTTTGATCTGTGATTATACAAATTAAGAAAATTATAAATGCTGCTGTCAATCTTTACTATGTCCTTTTTTCCTCTATTGTTAAACTATCGGGCATAGTGGCCTTACTCAATTTCGGCCATTTACACATTTTTTTCTGAACTGATATCTTTACGATCTTTGTTCCAAAGCGCATTTTTTCTGCATAATTTGATTTTATTGGAGCCCTAATTCATCTCGATGAAATTTACGCTAGAGTGGTATGGACGTATCGTATCCACGTATCAATGAATATTTTCTTATAGTATTCTATCAATGATAAATGTTTTGTAGCTTATGTGGCTTGTCTGCGTGGAACATCATTTCTCACCCGTGGAACATTTTGCTACTAATTTATATTATAACCAACAAATAAAACCAAGTAGCCAATTACACGACGAAAATGTACCGAAACAGCAGGCAAATTAAATATGTTGAATTGTCTTTTTCGTTCATTGATGTATTAAAAAATCCTTATATAATATTAATCTATACTAATACCTAGTCAGGTCATAAATTCTGTCACATGTTTAATGTAAAATAATTGAAACAAGTTTATTCATTATGTAACCATTCATACACCAAAATGAACTTAACAAACCATAGATTCTTATAACACTAAAGTTTATTCAAAATGACCTCCGTGATTTTGAATACAGGCCTTCAATCTGCGCGGCCAGTCGTCTATCGCAGCACGAACGAGGTCCATGTCAATATCGGCGGCTGCCTTAATCAAGGATGTCTTGAGTGACTCCAAATTGGGATGAGGCTTTGAGCACGTCTTTTCCTCCAAGTGTTGCCACATCTTGTAATCTAACGGATTCAAATCCGGACTGGAGGAGGGCCAGTCTTCGTGCCGGATGAAGTCGATTTCACGCGCCGCCAGCCAGTCTTGTGTGCTCTTCGCTCTATGAGCTGGCGCCGAATCTTGTTGGAATACCCAGTGCCTGTTATTGAACATGGTATGAGAAACAGGTTCCACAAGGTTCGTCAGGACTGTATTTTGATACCCAACTGCATTCGTTTTTACACCTTTCTNGGACTGGAGGAGGGCCAGTCTTCGTGCCGGATGAAGTCGATTTCACGCGCCGCCAGCCAGTCTTGTGTGCTCTTCGCTCTATGAGCTGGCGCCGAATCTTGTTGGAATACCCAGTGCCTGTTATTGAACATGGTATGAGAAACAGGTTCCACAAGGTTCGTCAGGACTGTATTTTGATACCCAACTGCATTCGTTTTTACACCTTTCTCACATAAATGTACCTCTGTTAAGCCCCAATAAGAAACTCCCAACCATACCATGAGCGAGGATGGAAAATGACCTCGTTGGACATACGGTTGCTCGCTTCTTCACTACTGTGTGCGTACACCTTATCATTTTGTTGTAGCTCTCTTCTACGGTAAAAAATTTTTCATCCGAAAAAAGAATTTCCCGATATTTTTTCCCGCGTACCGCTTCAACAAAGCGCGGCATCTCTTCAGTCTCAGGTCCATTAGACGAGCATTCAAACGATGTCCTGTTTTTCTTCGATATGCCCGAAGCCCCAAGTCTTCATTTAACACCCTTTTCACCGTGGTTCTGCTTAACCCCATCTGAAGGGCCAACAGTTTCTGCTTACGTTTGGGATTTCTTTGAATTCGCGCCTTCACAGCTTTTATCACTGCTGGAGTCCTAACAGACCGAGGACGACCACTTCTTGACCTGTCATTTACACTAGAGTTTTCATTGTATCGTTTGATGGTACGATAAACGAATCTTTTGGTTATATTAAAATTTTTCAGTATGTTAAAAATTTGAATTGGCGCGTAACCGCAACGATGCAACGCAATAACTGCAACACGGTCTTATGGTGAGGTCTATGAGTGTTGGACTCCCTAATAATAATGACAAGAAATAATAATGTTAATTTTAAATGCGCAGCGAAGCGGGCGAGTACGGCTAGTATTTTTATATATCAATGTTTTCGTTACATCAAGTTCCAAATCGCAACGGTTCTCTGAGAGCTCGCACGGGTAGGTACCACTGTCTATTTCGGCCGTTAGACAGTAATGTGATTCGGTTTGAAGGGTGGAGTAGGGTTGTATTAAAGAACTGAGTCTTAAAACTTATGTCTCAATGTGGATGGCGGCATTTTCGTGGTTCATGTCCACACCGTCTCTAACCCCTTAACACTGCGTCGACCGTGAGCTCACAACGTACAACTTGCCAGCTGAACTGAGTTCTACATGTAGGGGTCTACGTGAGTATCCCAAGAGATTATTTTTTTAATTTGCTGAGTTGCTTATTCTTGTATAGTGTGCACTAAAACTTAAACAACATCCCAAGTACAATAGAAATCAGACTGGAAAATCACCGAGTTAGGAACAAAAACTCCTCCTTGCGTCATATTCCTCATTGCTGAGGGTCGTGACCACCCTTTTGTATCACCTTCACACGCACGATCTTTATCTATCTATTTTTGTCTCTGGCGGTGTAGCTTTTTTTTTTTTTTATTGCCCATGTTGGCCGACGTTCATACGGCCCACATGATGGTGAGTGGTTAACGTCGCCCATGGACTTCAACGTTCGTTGTGAAACGTGGAATCAAGAGCGGTGCGAATCTGGTCGGACCAACGTATTGGACTGCGCCCCCGAGGTCTTTTTCCATCTACCTTACCAGTCACGATGAGCCTCTCGAGATTGCTACCATCCTTCCGTGCAATGTGACCGAAGTATTCAAAGACTCTGCGAAGACACTCGGATGACAGCCTCGAGGAGATTTTGAGTTCTTGCAAAATTGATGCGATGGTCCGAAATGCTGTCCACGGAATACGCAGCATCTTTCTCCAGCACCACATCTCAAAGGCGTCAATGCGTCTGCGGTCTGCAGATTTCAGTGACCAGGTCTCAGCGCCATACGAAAAAAAATCGAGAAGACTAGTACCAGTTTGGTTTTGGTCTTTACGGATATGATGCGATCTCTCCAGATTTTTCTGAGCTGAGTCATGGTAATCTTAGCCATACCAATTCTCCAGCGCACCTCCCTTTCGCACGAGCCATTGTTACTGATGTTGGAACCCAGGTAATTAAAGTTGTCCACTATTTCTAGGTCTAATGCGCCAGTGAGTTCCAATTTTCCAGACCTATTCACCACCCTGACTTTGGTTATAAACTTGTTTTTGGAAAGTCCCATCTCCTTGCTTAACAATAACAAAACAAAAGTACAAAAACTGACTGTCGTTAAATGTACGACAAATTAGTGATAAAATTCTTAAATCAACTGGTACTAATTAGTTCAAACTATACTGCATTTTGGTTAATAATAATAACACATTCCATTGTTTATTTATTACTACAATATTTAAGGATAACATATACAAGAATAAAAAAGAAAAAACAAGATATCTCTATGATTTATATAATGAATACCTACATAACATATAATCAGTAAGAAATAAATAATATTGACAAATGTAAAATAGAAAATTGAACATTTTAAGTAGCATAAAACAAAAACAGAATAATTTCATATCAAATACTATTAAGAATACAAACCAAGATGTTTTCCAGAATGTCATTATATCACAATTATTTGACTAGATACCAGTTATAATTAAGTAGATTTTCTATCAACCATCTAGCGGAGGACCTACATACACCATAGAAACTTCTGTATTTCCATACACTGCTGATATAGTTGGATAAAGTCTTTTATTAGGTAGACCTGAAAAGTGGAATTTTATAATATAATAAACAGCTGTTCATGTACATACATAATCTATGTACTAAAAATAGTTTTTGATCATATTTTAAAATAATAATTTGTAGTCAAATTGATTTTTATTTACTTTTTGTTTTTAATTGTTTAAGATGGATGGACGAGCTCACAGCCCACCTGGTGTTATGTGGTTACCGGAGCCCATAGACATCTACAACGTAAATGTGCCACCCACCTTGAGATATTAGTTCTAAGATCTCAGTATAGTTACTGCCCCATCCTTCAAACCGAAACGCATTACTGCTTCACAGCAGAAATAGGCAGGACAGTGGTACCTACCCGCACGGACTCACAAGAGGTCCTACCACCAGTAAGTACCTACCACTTTTTAAAATACAACAATCTGTTATGATTGTAATAATAATATATTGGTATCAAACTAAAATTAATGTCTAATGACATAACTATAACATGATTTTGATCACTCTCTCTTGACTTTATTATACATATGTATTATTAAATTTTTATTTCATTACCACGGAATGCAACACCTAAAAATTCATAATTCCTTTCAAATGAGAGGGTGTGACGATCACAATCAAGTATCACTCTTATTCTTTCACCAACCTGGAAGATATTTATTAGATTTAACCAAATCATAGAAACACAACAGTAGTCAGCTGTATAATACATTACATAAATAAACCCCATTAAATCCAAAACATTCATTAATATCGTTTTACATACATCTATTCTTGGTTTACACATTGACAGTCAGAATGATACTACTTTTGTGGATATTTCTGCTGAGAAGCAGTGATGTCATAATCAGATAGATTTTTACACTGTAACTACTTAAAGCTACAGAGGTTATCTTCCATATCTATTCTAATAAAACAGAGATATGCCTTTTCACTTTAGTGTGTTCATAAATCATCATCATCATTCCTTCCTATTACCCTCTGCTGGGGTGTAGGGCTCGAATCAATTTTTTCCATTTACATCAGTCTTGGGCAGTCTGTTCTAGCTCCTCCCACGTCATGCCCAAGACCCCTAGCTCCTGCTCCTAAATATTATATTATATTATATTGCTCCTGTTCATAAATAGTCAAAATAATTGTTTGCTGGACAAATTATATTCTATAAAATATTCTAATCTACAAGGTCACTAGTTTGAGGGTCAGGAACACAAAAGTGGCTGTTATTGCCTATTATAGTCATATCTACTTCTATTAGATATTGTTTCGTTCAAAACATAGAAAAAAATTTATGTGTAAAACTTCAATTATTTATAAAATAATAGATCATAATTTTTAGCAACATTTACTGGCAAGATAAAATCATTGGAATGATTTTTTAATAAACAGTGAGGTTATTTGCTATAATACAAAGGGAGGACAAAACCTTCAAATGAGACCCTAATAGACCCTATGCATTAACTGGTTTTTATTTCTTTTGAATTACATAGTGTATTTAATTTGAAAAATGTAATTAAATTTAAATTAATCAATAATTTGTATGCTTTAATGTTAAGGAGCTATTTTTTGTATGTTATAAATAGAATAAAAGCATTACTTGATATTTGGGGCAGTTATTTAACAATGGATAATGTCCTTGAGTATCACCATTGTGTAATAAATGATTATCAACAAGATTCCAGCCCCAACTCAGTTCATCTGAACCAAGCAATCCTACATATCCTTGACATTGCAATGGTGCATCTCTAGTTGACACCCCTATGACAGCTACTGTGCCAAGGGGACCTTCCCATATAATTTCCCAAGCATGACGACCACGATAAAATCCAACCTTTCCTCTACAAGCATCTGTACTCTGTGCTACAGGATTTCTGAAATTAATGTATTGGACTTAGTTTCTTGAAATGACACCATTATCAAATTTTCATACATATACTCTAAAGAGCATTTAAAATTCATTACCTGTGTAAAGTAAATCCATTTGGTTTGATATAAATGTTTCTCGAACAATCATACGGATTCCAAGCATGGCAATATGCTCTAAGTTTTTCTCTATAAGTTCTGAGGCACGAAAGTAAATCAGATTTCATCATTTCTTCTGTTAATCTTCTATAACAATGATATCTCCACACTTCATTATTCTCATCACTGAGCATTCTATACCAAGTCTTACATACCAACGCACAGTTTCGAATATCTCTCAATCTTAGATACAAAAAAATAAGTTCCAAAATATGGTCAGGTATGATTTCAGCAAAAGCATATTTTTTGTATCTATGAATTTGACGCATCTTATAGTAGAAATAAGCATTTAATTTTAAATGCACAATTTTGGTAGTTATATAATACCTTTTTAGAAAGATCTATGGTTACAGCGGGTTAGTGATTGAATTTTAATATTATTGCTTTTGATGAAATTTATTGGAAATTCTGAGTTTCAGGTTAAGTTGTTTTATTTTGTTTTGTCCACTTTGGACTTTTGTTACAAAAGGGACTGGTCTCAAACAGCCAGTCATCAAGTATGGAAAAATAATATTTAAAACGAGCTTCACAATTTCTAAACAACGCTATCGAATCAGCAGACAATATCTAAAGATTAACACTTTAATGATAACATAGTAAAACACGATTAGTTGAAAATTTGTTGTTTTTATTGTTAATATATAAATGTTCTCCTACGTACTTATCAGGCTCAGGACTGCCTGAAATGAATATTAATACTTACCAGAAAATAAGAAGATTTTATTTCATTTGGGAAGATGAATAATGGAGTAAAAACTACTTGAGCACTACTGTGACATGAAAATCGGTGTAACGAAAAAGCGACACTGAAAAAGGCAAAAAGATATGTCTAAAGGATTATTAGCCTGCGAGAGAATAACACGGAATAATTCTGAAAGTTTTACTTTTACTTCGTTTTACTGCACACATGTTCTTTAATATTAGTTAGTTATTCATATAGTTTGCGGTAGGCAGCGGCTTGGCTCTGCCCCTGGCATTGCTGAAGTTGAAGAAGTAACCACTCACCATCAGGTGGGCCGTATGCTCGTCTGCCTACAAGGGCAATAAAAAAAAACCATATTCATAGTTTCTGTAGTTAATTGTTTGTCACGTTATGATTTTTTAAATACATTAATTTCCCCACTGACCCATTAAACCCGAATTAAATGTTATATTCTGCCAATTTAGGATTTCTTCAGATTTTATAGTGGTAACTTAACACATCTTACACCAAGTCGTCATCGTCTGCCTTTAAAAAAAGGTTATGAACCGCTTAGTGGAGAAGATTTTTGAAACTTTTTTTTTAATTGATAGATGGGTCGAAAATCTCACGGCTCAATTGGTGTGGGTGGTGGTACTGACCCATGCGCACTCACAAGACGACCTACCACCAGTAACTACGCAAATTATATTTTTTCAAGTTTGATTTTTATTACGCGATGTTATTTTTTCACCATGGAAGTCAATCGTGTTTTTTTTTTTAAATACATATTTCATTGGAAATTGTTTTGGAATTGTTACCTGTGTGTGGGATTGGATCACCAATGCATCGCTACACACGAATGCACCGGACATCTTATCCTTTAGGCCACGACGACGACATACAAATGTACACAAGTTTAGGAAAATATCTCAAGTCGTATGACCTACTTCAGGTTTTTGTAAATTCGTCATTGAAATTTGAATAAATTCCCCCCATTACACTGTTTTCAAATCGGCATGGGCAGTTGGCGGCTCTGCGTGTGTGTACCAGGCTCACCATAAACCGGGAGGAGTGGCGATTGCTTACGAAACGCATAACAGCTACCCACAGTAATGATGCTGAATGACGACCACGACCGCTCTGACACAAGTGATACGACAAAAGACAAGGATATTGAATGGTTACTTTTTCGTTAATTTCATATGATGTTTTTTTTTTTCGTTTGACCTAATTTAATTTATGTGATTATGCTCCATTTTACATTTTGTCTAACAGATACGGTTTCATTCATTTTATTTTAAATACTTATTCAATGGGCTAGGTTTCTTTTGCCACCCAGTGGAATATTGTATCAAAAAACAATCAACTATAAATTTTAGTAGACTTAAGCGCCTAAAGTGCCTTATTCACAATCCATCTTGCTGTACGTCCCGCCAAGGCCATGCACGATGCACGATGCATTTAGCGCTTTATTCACGATCCATCACGGCTGTACGTCAGCTCAAGGCCGCGGTGCTTGATGTATCAAGCGCGAACAGAATAAATCGAACGAATTAAATGAGAGGGTTTTAATTTATTTAAAATGCCAGCTGTTTTATCAAAACGCCAAAAATGGGAGTCCTTCTGATGTTGTCAGCAGCAGCAGAAGAGAGGCAAAAAATAGCAAGAGGTTTTGGATGATTTTTTTAAACGTGCAGAGTATACTCAAATAATTAGTATCATTTTTTACGCACGCTATCAATCCTTGCAGCTTCCCCTAAAATGGGCCTAAAAAATTGTAATAAGTTTATTATTTTTTGTTTATTCATATAGTCTGCGCTTGAGACATTCCACAAACATGTGGAACTTATATCTTTTAATAAATCTTGAAAGTGTTTCACGATCCATTTTGACGTGCAGTCTCCTCTCGAAACTAGCTCTAAATGTTAAATCTGCTGTACAGCAAGTCTATAAACGATCAAGCATGCACGACGCAGAACCGCTCTGACGTACGTCAGCGTTATTCACTGTCTATCTGCACGACGCTCGCGGTGGTGGGGGCACCATAGACCTATATAGTAGGAACACGACATATTGTTCTATACGTACAATTGCTTATATAAATAGCACCCATTTTGAAGGCACACACATAAACATATATCTATCTCGTTCTTACTCAGCACTTTAACTCGCAGGAAAACAATATAACAGTATTTCAGTGCGTACATAAAATGAAACATGAATATACGTAAATATCTCCGTCTCCGTCTAATGAGGCCGAAAATCCGCCATGTTTAGCGCGCCAAATGTCATTGTCACGTCAGTTCGGCCGTCTGTTTTGGGTTGTACATTATTTATTGACTTTGATATCGATTTAATATGATTGATTATATAAAATTTCATAATTTATCATGCTTAAAACATACAAAAATAATAATTAAAACGTATTTTATAGGATCTCAAGAAAGTCGATGCCCTAAAACTATTATCTATATGTATTTAAATTCATTATGGAGCCCTCATCCGAAAAATCCATTTTTCGGTCGGAATCTATTGATCATGACACTAATCATAAATACCTCTTTAAAATATGTCATCAAAACATATTTAGACATTCTGTTTAGATATTTCGGGAAAAAGGCTACCGACAAAATCTCTTCGGAACTATTTAAATAAAATAGTTTTATTCCGCAGTGAGTAAAACACTATTGTAAATTCGTTAAATATTTAATAATTAAGTGATTTTAGGTAGGAAGTCACAAAGAATGACGTTTTTAATAATGAATAAATGTTCTGTAGGTGTTTTTTTTTCACGCGGTCCCTTGATAAGTTTAAAATTTGAATCACTCTCAAGTGAAAGCGATTCAAATGGTGCGGGGCGCACCTTCCTTGGGGTGCGCTGCGGTAGTGTGTTACGGACTTTAGAGTCAGCAAAACAATTAAAATAGATTGTAATAGTCTAAGAAAAACACGTACTCAAAATACGATAACATTTAGCATGCTAGAAATGGGCAGATGGCACTGTACTACGCCATATCTTTATATTTTGCGACAAACGACAACTTTATAAAATCAGTGTAGCAACTTTTAAAAATAATCATAATCGTTTACTTGGCAAATTCGAAGGACGAACTTGTCTTAGATTTCACCCATCTAAATCCTATCATATTTGCACATAACAATATACCTACATACTTCCCAATAAAGTATAAATTCTACAAATAAATAATACTCAACAATATTTAAAATAAAATGAGCCAAGAACGTTTATCGATAAAACCTGATAACATTGAAATCTTTTGTACAGCACTAAAACCGCCATGTTTTGTGGTCAGATGACGTCACAGTGGCACGAATTTTTGGTTGACGTTTCATTTCCGAATGATTATGCAAAGTTTTCGCTGCATTCGTGGTTTTCCAAGCTGTGTCGGTTTTTTAACAGACATCAAAGCGCGCGAGCCTCGAACCTTCGCGTAGTCTCCCACACATTCGCTTGCCCAGTTGCGCCGACGATTGCGAAGGTAACGGACGTTTTTTTTTTTTTGGAGGGAGGAAATCGCCGGACTTCCGCCCTCCCCTGGGGATGGAAGGCGGGGCATGTCGGAGTCGAACTGACTAAAACCTCCTGTCGCTCAACAACCCGCGTCCGAACCTCGCATGAGACAGAACCCATGAAAAGGCAAAGGGGGGAAAGTGAAGCGTTTAGTGCGGAGCACATCTCTCCCATCACCCTCCCCCTCGGGACGCCGGACCGGCGGTCGTCGGCGCCACGACCACCAGCCCTCTCGGTCGGCAGGAACGGACGTATACTATACGCCATTTTCATAGTTCGTGACGTTTACTGTGTAGCGTATCTTCATCAAAAGAAATCCCATAAAAACAGCATGGCTGTTAATGATGTCTGGGAAAGAATTAAAAACTCTTTCTCTTCAATGTTCTATTGACGAATTAAAAAGGAGGAGAAATTCGTGAGACATTCGTAAACAAGTGTAGGAGGAAGCGCAAACGGGTTCGCAAATTGAGTATGCGAACCCATTTGCACAGCCGCTAGGTTTGCGAATGAATGTTTGACGGCCCTTCACATGCGCGCAAACATTCGTACAATGTACGAATATTTGCGCGCATGTCAGTGGCCGGCATTAGACAACAGTTTCAAGTTTTTACATAGATGAGCCTTTTCCGTTTGACTGTTTCGATAAATACACCTCACCCGTAACTTACATTATTAGCCTGTGATTGTGCATCAGTTTACCTATTATCCTATGATCTGTGCTACTTAATTTTTATTTACTAATTACACAGTACGTAAATTGTCGTAAATACATATTTTAGACAAGTAGGTATCAGTAATGCCTGGCGTTGAAGCAATATTATCAGACGAAGATTTTATAATTGCAAAAGCAAAAGATGCTCAGAAATCTGACATTTTTGCAGCAAAAGCATGGATGCTCACAGCGAAAACATTATTTCCAACGAATTTTAAAATTCAGTTTGAGGCATATTTGATGGAGAAACAGTCTGGAAATGTACAAGAAGCCGCAGAATGTTTCAGTTCTTTAATGCTTTCAAGACAAAATATGACTGCGCTTTTACCAGAAATTTCTGCAATCGCTAATGCTCTTAGATCAGCGGAAGGTAGCTTTTTGTGTCAGATGTTTGATCATATTTGTCCCGATATACAGTTAACAATATTGAAGACAAGTGTAGAAAACAGTGATGATACGACAGAGCATTGTAAATTACTTGTGTTATTATTAAAAAAGTTTCCACAACTAGGAGTGGATAGTTTGGTTAAAACTTTAATTAATGCTGAGAAATTTTTCTACGACAATAGATATGCTAGGCTTCTAGTGGTAGAAACATTGCCATTGCTGAGTTCCTTGGAGTCACCAAGGTTGTTACAAAGATTGCTAATTAAAGCTATTGATTTTTATAATTCTTATGTATATGATCAAACTGAACATGACATATCTGACCCATGGCAAAGATTGTATGGAGTGTTGGATTTATTGGGAAGACAGCTTTGTTGGGACCCTTATCTTGTTAATTACAGCAATAGCCTGAACAAAGAAGCATATTTTCAAAAATTGTTGACATTGAGGAACAGTGAAGATTGTCGTCAACTATTGTACTGTGGAGTAACTTTTTTTCTAAGATCCCTTTATGAACAAAGATTATTAAAGGGAAATCATATACTTGTAGAGGCTCTTTCGGACCCTGATATGCCGCAGTCAAAAAGAAGAAAAAGTGATATAGAAGTTACAGGTATTTCAGCTCATCAGTTTCAAGTAGCTGCAAATTGTTGGGAGCTTCTACATAACAATGAAGTAATATCTCGAGAGTTTAATAAATTGGCTAATCAGCTTCAAGCTAAGCCATGGGCTGAAGGTTTTGCAGATGAATTAGCTCTGTACAGAGGTAGATATGATGAAGCTTTACCATCAACTACTTCTAACAATATGGTGTCATGTTTGATGAAAATCTCAGTTTATTTTAGTCAAAAGAAATATGCAGCCTGCATTGAAAGTATATTGGCGGCTTTGCCACAGTTACCAAATGTAGAGGGAATGTTAGAGGCTGAATTAATTATAGGTGGTAAACAGAGACATTTACATTTTTTACCTTTAACAAAATTAGCTATTATGCATTATATCTGCACATTGTTAATCAGAATCTTGTTAAACACTGGAAGCAGTTCTGACCTCATCTATGGCCACATCATGGTTTTAATGCAACTAGGTTGGCCACAGGAAGAGTCTATTTTTATTCACATATTGGAATATATTAGACAGAAAGGAATATTTCACTATCATTTGTTTGCTTCATATATTATACACATTGACATACTTGAAGAGATTTGCTTTATGTGGAATGAACAGGGGAATAATATTGTGTTAGATATTTTACCTAATTCACAGCAACATGTAGGACAGAGAAGAATAGGTACCCGTGGTGCTGATAAAGGAGTGAAAGAGGATTTTAAACAAGCATTGAAAGCTCAGGTTACACGCAGCAATGAATCAACTTTAAATTTAATAATACAATTTATTACTTCAGAGCGTTCCTTTTTTCTTCAAGTAGTATAGTTGTAATAAAGTCAATGTTTCTGTCTTAATATTTTTAATTTTTTATAATGTAATGTCACTTGTATTTCACAAGTACCCAAATATAATTAAGCACTGCTCTCATATGTGCCAACAGCAAGTAGTAAATTGCGTCTTGTAAAATGCAAGCCTTTTACAGGGGAACTTTTAGTGGCAAATGATTGTAATAGATATTTGTCTTCTTTTGGTATAAGGTTATTTAGAGTTTCTTCAATGGGAGATTCGTCTGTTATGGCTGTGAAGTCCCACAATTTTATTGTACAATCCAATGAGCCTGAAAAACAGTGTTTAATTTAATAAAACTTTGTATGTGCTACTTTGTTGTGCCCTTGCATTTGTTATATGCTTTCTACTTTTTATGTGCATTCCTTTTATCCATGGGGGACAGTGACTCACCATCATGTGCGTGGTAGTTTGTAGATTATATAATAAACAATCAGGTAAACGATGACTAGTGCTTGAGGTACCTAAAAGCACCGTTAGTGAATCGGGAATAACGTGTTTTGGGCGACGTCGACTGCTTTCTAATCTGTCCGCAGGACCGGGAATGTAGTTACCGGCGGCCACAATGAGAGTTCTCATGTCGTGCCGCTTTGTCGAAGTGGAGAGAGTGCACTGTAGAATTATGTGAAATGATTTTCGTTATAACCCTTGCGTTATGACCATAATATCACTATGCAAAACGGAGCATGTTCACACATGCAATGTGAATCCACTAAGTTCATCCAGTGTTCTAAAAAATTTTAGATTGTGGCGGTTTTTATTTACCTGACGATAGAACTGTTCCATCACGACTGAAGGCTAAGGCGTGTATGGGAGCAGTATGTGCCGGGGGTAACGAAGCGGCTGGACCCCCAGTAGATAAATCCCAAACCATCATATCTCCACCACTGCCACCAGAAGCAATCCATCTTCCACAAACGGAAAAGGCCAACGTGAAAATGGTTGACTATAACAATAGGGGAAGAGAGGAAATTATTATTAAAAAATATATAAAAATTCATTTGAATTGAGTTTAAAATTAAGGTTTTTAAGGTTAGGAGAGTGCATAATTAATGTACCTACATAGCAATAATTACCTTATGTCCTGTCATTATTCGAACTTGACTACCAGTTAAACAATCCCACAGTCGAACTGTTCTGTCGCTAGATCCAGTTGCTATATAATTTGAGTTCGGGTGAAACTGAATACACTGAAAAAAAAACCTGACTTAAAAGATATGAATTGATTTTTCACATGCCAAAGAGTTCATGACAGTAGTTCATAGGAAATTAAGCAAATGATAACGGTATCCAACGCAGTCCCCTCGAGCTAATGAACCTTTATAGAAAAAATTGTTTACGTAAAATTTGTCAACGTATTATAATAGCCGGCAAACTTCTTGAGCATTAGTTGCCGTAGTGGGGGAAAGTTCGCGCATGGTACACTCACGTGCAAAAACATTATTTACTCTGTGTCATAATGCTATTAAGGTATTAAAAACAACATATTATTATGTATTTATTTATATATTTATTAGAACATCAACAAACAAGATAGGTTAATAATTATTGTAATAATTTAATCTTAGGGTAAAATAGATATTACTTCTATTAGGTCAAAACTAGAGCTGGTGCCAGGTCTTGGTTCAGTTGAAGCGGAGCTGGTATTTGTCATTTTTTCTTCGTTATCATAATCTTGACCATCATCATCATCATCATCACTGTTCATCACCCGAGTCGCTATCATCGTGATGAGTCGACATAGGGCTCATCGGTCTAAACTATCGGTCTTCTTTCTCTTGTCTATATTTTATCATTTTTTGAGGATATTCGATTCGTAGTAATCGAATGCTGCTTTTTTCAATTACCAGCTTCCGATTATTTTCTGTTTTTGTCCATTTGAAGCCTAGCTCTTTCATAATTCGTCGTACACTTCCGCCATTCAAATCTATATCTTCTTTGAATTTTTCGAAGCCTTTCTACGGTACTGAGTTTCGCCGTTTGTTATGTGGTTATTATGATTACATATTTTTATTACAGATTGATCGAAACTATCCATTCCGGTAACATTCTTCTTTCCCGAAACGCGGCGAGCAAGACAGAGCCCTTAGCTTCGTTAATAATGCACCTAACAGTACTCGCTAATGTTTTTGTTGCTTCCGAAGTCTGTTTTACTTTTCCATATCATTCTTTCCCTGTTTTATAATGAAGCAATATACGTCGTACACCATTTTTCTAGCCTTTCTTTTCAATACTACAGCAGTTTATCGCGGCATAGTGTATTTTTTATAAAAAATCAACAAACACTCAACAAGCAGCAATGACAACAAAGTCAACAAGCAATTATAACTTCAACGATTAATAACGATAGACTTTAACTGTACGCAAGTGCACTTTTGGGAGCAAGCGGAACGAAGGCGCGGTGCGGGGCGCAAAGTTCGACTGATCTTCCAATAACGCGCTCGATACGATCTCCCCTGCCGTCGCGCCCCGCCCTCACCACCAAAGTGTTCTAAAATTCGGTTCTGCGCAGTCAAGGTAATTTGCTCAAGAAGTTTGCCGGGTACTATAATAATATAAAAGGTTGAAATTTTAAATTTTGGTTATATCATCGACTAAATTAATTTAACGTACATCTACATCCGAATAATGTCCTATAAATATCCTCAGTGGAAGGTGGTGATCAGTCGCCCATAGTCGAGCAGTACGATCATGGCCGCTGGAAGCAAAGTAGTGGCCATGAGGGGACCAGCGCACGTCCCAGACCGGCCATACGTGTCCACGGTATACAACAAGACACGTCCAACACTGTAGTGACCACAATCTCACTGCGAAGAAAAGTAATATTTTATAAACCACAAACTATTATTCTAGCTCATTTAGATTATAATATGACTAGCTTTCGCCCGCGACCTAGTCTGTGTGGAATAGTTACTTTGGGATAACGCTAAATTTTACCCTCGACTTCATTTACGTAGAAGGTGAAAATATTTTTTAATAATAGAATGTTAAGGAGCTATTTAAGGTACTAGCTTTTGCCCGCGACTTCGTCCGCGTGGAATAGTTCACAAATAATGCTTTATTTTAGAACAAACTTGGTTAGCATAAAAAAGGTTGTAGTGACTCAACCTTAACATATAGACATATTATGCTGTCCCGGACTTTTTTTTAGATCTTTTAAAGGGGAACAATTCAGTCATACATTATTTTAGCGAAACTTTAACCGTTTCTGCAGCGCACGCAGCAGAAGCTCTCAAAAGGGAAAAAACCCGATTTTGAAACATTCTTTATTGGTCCTCCGCTTGTATTGGTCTTAGTGTGATGTTATATAGCCTTCCTCAATAAATAGGCTACCTAACACTGAATGAATTAACACTAAATCTTTTAAATCGGACCGGTAGTTCCTGAGATTAGCGCGTTCAAACAAACAAAAAAACAAACTCTTCAGCTTTATAATATAAGTATAGATTCGTTAATACTAAGTTTTAGATATTAATCTTTTCAATTTATTGAATAAAATAACAGCCGATCGTTTAATAGAAAATGATAATATAATAATAATAAAAATAATCTGTAAAGTAGTTAGATCCTTATGAGTTTGCCCATTATAATTTGATAACATTTTTGGGCTCAAATATCTTTTAATTTATTTTCCAATTCCATATTGAAATTATTATAGGGAGTGATTTCTGGTTTAAGTTTAGTGTGTTCTCTGTGTGTTTTCGCATTGTTTGCTTTGAAAAATTTTATTCACAATTCTAGAAAAGTTAAATATCATGTTATTTCCGAATACGAATTATACCGTGGCATCAGTAGAAAAATGGGTACCGCATTAGATAATTGACTTCCATCAGCGATTTTGAGTGACTGAAGATAAATTCAAAATAGTCGAAAATAAGATCTGTAAGATCGTTAAAAGTAGACGTTTCGCGAACAAGTTTGTGTTAACCTAACCACTACAGTTACTAGAAATCCGACTAAGCAATTTCTGTAGGTCCATTACCAATATTATTTCAGTCTTCAATAAATTTTCCATCAAATGGTGTAATTATGTAGCTCTTCGATCAACAATAGTAACTAGATACACGGTCGGTGTAGAAAATCCGTCTCGTCAAATAACAGCTCACTTGAAATGTGAGCTGTTATTTTGTTTAGTTCACTTCAAGCGCAGCCAATGTCAACCCGTCTCACAATGCCGCAGTGTGTATTCAAAAGTTGCAAAAATAATGCCCGAACAGCTGAAGTATCTTACTTTCGGTAAGTACATGAAGTATAAACTATATTTTGGGCTTTAAACTAATAAATAATATTAAATTTTGAACAAAATTACCGATTTTTAGCCACCGCTACAAATGTTGGCCAAGACTCGGCCAACTCATGGACAAACTTTTGCTTAACAGAACAGTAAATGCATGGAGTAGATTTGTGTTGTAATAATTTTTTTAAATTTGTTAGCAGTACTTCAAAATTAGTTGGTTAAAATTGTTTCATGCTGCTTTTGTGTCTGTTTGTTGGACTCTCATTAGATACTTAGCTTTCCATTTTTATTTTAGCTTTCCTAGCAATCACGTGTGCAGAATGGATCTCGATTGTCGCCAGAGAAACAAGAGATGACTTTTATAAGCTAGCTAAGATCTCCGCTTATTGACACTGGACATCTTTGCCTTCCGTGCTCACGGCTACTGAAACGTGGCCGAAACTTTGTTATAAAAATACCGCGCTTGAAACCGTTTAAACGTTGTTTTATTATGTGCACTGGTCGCGAAAACTTAAAAATAAATATTACACAAAAACGTAACGCTAATAAAATAATAAGTAATGTATAGATACTAACAAACATACATTTCCAAAACATAAAAAGTAAACAACTAAAGTTTTACTTTAATTCATTAATAAATTATTTTAGTGTTCAGCGCGACTCCCTTACTTCCTGTAGTAAATAGAAATCGGCATTTCAAGAAGCAAAAATAAATAAAGCAAAACGATGTTAGTTCTCAGAGCAATTAAGGGAAAAGTTACTTTATTTGTTGTCTTTTAAGATTGATTTAACATTAAAAGTTGTTTAAAATATGTCTTTTTATTGGTAAGTGACAGGAGTAATTTATTGCTTTGCTCGTTTTATGTGACGAATGATCGTAAGTATTAGATAATGTTTTGGAGATTTGTGACTTTATTACTAGGTGCCATAGTTGTAATTAGTTTGAACGTAAAAGTGTTTCAAAACTTTTTTCTCCGTTTGTTAGTAAACGAATATAGCTATATAAGTATACATTCACGCGGACAGTTTTTGCTTTAATTTTGTACGTATCCCTTTATCTAGTTACTATTGTTGATCGAAGATGTAGCTATAAACAAATTTTCGTTTGTTAGGAAACTGTAATTCATCATAGTCATCACAAACCTATACTTCAAAAATAGAGACATGAATTGATTCTTTGATTATTTGTAATGTAATTGATTATTTGTAAAGTTTATTCATGACAGACAGAGTGCAAGCTTAACGGTACTTAGCGGTAGGCTGCGGCTTAACTCTGCTCCTGGCGTTGCTGACGTCCATAGGCGACGGTAACCACTCACCATCAGGGGAGCCGTATCTGGTCTGCCTACAAGGGCAATAAAAAAGCAATAATACCAATGTTTCTTTTGTAACGCATGCATTGTTGGAAAGGGACAGTGCATCACATTCGAAATTTCATTTAATTAACTTACTAGCCGGTTTTAATGATAAGTCATATATCACGAGATCCACGAGATCCCATTCCACGACGCCCTTCATGCGGCCAATAATCGGAGGCGCTGGCGGGACATTACAAGGAGTAAAATCATGTCGAAGTATAATGGTCACGACCCTCAGCAGTGAGGAAACGACGCGAGGAGATAATATAATATATTTGTAAAATACAGAGCCGGTTCACTGCCCCGTTCAGACTGGGAACTTTGATTCCGATTTCAAAGTTTGTTAAACCGGACCCACGTACCAGTTGTATCCTCAGAGCACGAAAGCAGCATTGTTTTAAAAGGATCAAATGCAACTTTATAAACGGGGCCGGAGTGCCCAAAAAGGTTGCGGCACGTATCACGGTCCTTTTCCTCCATCATCCTCACGAGTACATCACCTAAAAGTAAGCAATTTATTTATATTAGATTAAATCATTTGAAAACAATTATATATTTTAACCAAATTTATACCTGCTTCCCTGTCTATATCTTGTAGTTTTTCTGCAGATTTCATTCCTCGCAGTTTAATGGGAGTCAATGTCCATACCTAAAATATTTTAAATTAGAATATAATTTTGAGTTTTAGGATGAATGAGTAGTGTTTAGGTAGTAATAATTAGAGACAAATTATAATTTGAGAAGATAGTTTCTTTAGAATTATCGATTAGTTTCTCGGATGGTTTTCAATAATTGGGTACCCGAAGATACTTCAATCTATTAGGGGCTGCTCTGAGTCGTGATCTACCATTAATAACTACCCTTACCACAGGGCAATGCTTATCGTAGTGTTTCCACAGCGAGATTTAAGAGATCATTGTGTCACTATCACTCGGCTTTGCCTGGAATTAACTAACTCTCTCTTTCTCAGATTTTTCCCGAGCATTGCGACATGTCGTTAGTATTAAGGCATGTCCCTGAGCCTTTGAGGTAATTAGGAATAAAATATTTAACAACTCTGATTTGAATTTTGCAACGACTTTTTGATGCTTAATTTAAGCCTCGTATACTTACTGTACTTAAATATTATCGTAAAAGCTTTTTAGTCATGTAGAAAAATATGTACAAAAGTGGAAACATGATGAGAGTGTTATATTTACAATCGGTTACTTCATATTTTACTGGGTTTACAGTTTTGTGGATAACGACATAGGAATGATCACCGAGCGAGTGTCTTTGTCCTAATGCACGAAACTTAGATGTGCTTATGTGTTTGATGATGTGTTTTTGACAAATATCTTCTATTCTGTAATAGCTGTCGCTACAATAGTAGAGTGCTAAATTGGGAAAAACGTAGTAGCATCTCTAGTCAGGTTTTCTTTTTTCAAAAACTTCTCAAAGAAAAAAATCTAGTCTTAGGCGATACAGTTCCTTCAAAAGCTCTAATTAAAAATAGCAGCTTCATTCCTATGCTATTTTTTGTTAGTTAGTAAAAAGCATATACCTGAAAATCATAACACAATTAAATCAATACCATTATCTATATACTATGTATACCTTTATGTTTGAGTTATTAAATCCCACAGCCAAAAGGGTGGAATCGTCACAAATATCACAACTAATTGCAGTATGTCCGCTGTTCAGTAATGTATAGAAACAAATAGAGGGCAAGCTGTCTGGTCCTAGCTGAACACGTTTTGATGCTTCTCTGAGTGCTTTGCCTTTCTCTACTTTATCAATTTCTTTTCTAAAATAATAAATTAAAATATGTGCACATAATACTATATTTTTTATTTCACACAATTTCTTTCTAAAAAATTCATAAATTTGCAATCAGTACAAGACTTACAGATCTGGTAGAGGGATCCTGTCATTAGGAGGTGCATTTGGGTCAGATTTTGGTTTCTTCATAAAAAGATTATCTTTTTTCGCTTTTTTCTTTTTTGGTTTGTCAGGGGTTTCTTCTACTTCTTCTTCGTCTTCTACCGGAGCCGGTAGAACTTGAATATCGGGCTCTTTCAGGAGCCCATAATACACTTTGGTGCGATTTTCTATATAATTAAATTTTTTGTTTAATTTAAATTTAAAAAGTTTAATCTTATCATTGTTCTTGTGTTCATTAGGTATTGTCGTTTATATAATTATTTATAATAAAATTTATTCTATTTATTTGGCCTACCTACTTAAGAGTCATTTATTTTTTGGCCCTGTGATGCAATGTCATCATAATGTTATTTACAGTACAGTTACAATTTCATTGAATCAGTGTCACTATTTAAATACCGGAAGAAAAACTGGAGAACAATTGAATGTATAGATGAGTGAACAATGATGATATGTGGCTCTCATGGTGATATGTGGTTATGAGAGCTCATACAAATCAAAGCTTAAATGTCATCACACATCTTAAGACATGAGGTAGAAAAACCAATTCTAATGTTTAACAGTTGTCTCAACATTAAAATGGGAACTTATTACTGCAGCAGAAAAACGTAGAACGGTGGTACCTACCTATGCAGGTTAATATTTAATGGCTCTCATTCTCATTGGTGTTTATAGTAATTTAATAATTATTAAACATTCTCACCACTTTTCATTGGTTCTCCAAGTACCCCTCCAGCTGTAGCTCGAACTTGTGCTTGAGTTCTTCCTGGACCATCATGGACTTCGATTTGTATATGATTATTTATTATATTTATTATTACTGAGGAATTTTTCTGTTCGTGTAAGTAACGTTTCAGTTGTGAAGATGCATCTCTTGATAACTGAACTGTAAATTTATTTGTGCTGGAAATGAAGAATATATTTAGATGTTTGTCCTTGAAATGATTTTAGCTTTAAATTTATGCATTGCATATAAAGATTACTTTACATGCAATTCATGAATTTACTCTGCATGTAAAGTAATCTTGCAGGCAGTGGAGCTTCATTGGTTTGGATCAAATCCTTGAAATGTGAGCACACAGTCCATTTGTCTAAGTGAACGAGTTCATCACCAATAATAATGCACTGTGGATCTTACTGCTTGTGATAATGTAAATATGAGATTTATCTTCACTATCAGCTTATGAAATTTGTTTTAGAATAAACCTCACATGTATTACCCAAGCACATGTCAATAGTAGGGTCACAAAGTAATAGTAAGGACAGTCAGTAGTACATCCTGGCTTGCTGGCTTGTTGCTTGTGCCTCGCTTTACCATATTGTTAGCATCTAAATGTGAAAGTGACTATTAACCATCATCATTCTCAAGAGTGTAAGAGGTTTAGAAGCTTTAATTTAGGAATGTCTAAAAGAAAAATTAACAAACATTCATTTATATAAATGATCATATTGTGTGACAGAAAATGTATTGTTCAGGTCAAAATTTATTTAAACTTGAGTTGTCTATAAATTGACTATTTCTTTGCAGTCATTTCAGAATTACTCATATATTCAGTATTATATTCTAACATTCTCACATCAGTGGATTGGGGGCACAGTTGTTTAAGTTTTATTAAACTAGGCCCATAGATTTATGCAAAGGAATGTTAAGTCCCATTAAGTATTTGTGGATGAAACCAAATTAAACCTCATACCTGTATATTTCTGCTAGTTCATTTCCTTTTATCTGATCCTTATGTTTTACAATAGACAACTTTTTCAAGTCCTCTTGATAGTAATCTTCTTGTTCTATTCCAAACTTTTCCAAGAAACTGACAGCGTGTTCAACATGATCATACAGTATCAACAGAAGATACATGTGAACAAACACAGGATACAATAGTGTGGACAATTCATACTGTAAATATCAAGTTTATAATTTTAAATTGTACAACCAAAAAAAGTTGCTTAAACTATTGCTCAAACATTTTCAGCTTTGTTGTCTAAAAATTTTTCCCAAATGGGTAAGACATTGTAACCCTCACATTACACTTGGTGTTAAAGAGTTATTGGATTATTATAATTATATGTCACCAGCCTCTTTAAGACAAGTGAGAAAGCCATATTATTTAAAACCTTGACTCCTTCATGCCAGAAATATTGCCTACACTTGCAGGCTCTGAACACATTCTTTTTTTGTGGTGTATAATAAATACATTTTTATACTAAGTAGTTGGTGCTAATCATTATTTTATTATGAAGGTAACCAACTATAAATAACTTTTATCTATTCTACACCTAGGGTAATATAATATTGTTTTGTTGTATAAAGCACATGGTCTAGTTTTATAAATAAATCTATGTAAATCAAAGCATTTATTTTTTTGTTATTATTCATATTGGTGTTAAACACAAAAAGGATAAAATTATAATTAATGTTAATATTTTTCTTATACTACACAATTAAAATATGATTTAAGACCTTACCTTGTACAAATCTAAAGAATTTTCAATAAATTTTTTTAGACCGTCGTACGCCAATTCGTACGTAAAGGGGTCGCTTTCAGTGTGATGAGCGGTAAGAATGCTCGCTAGTTCTACTTCAGGAAGATCTAAGCTTTCACATTCGACGTCTCCTAGACTAGCTTCTTTTCTTAAAATGTCTTCTGTACTCTAAAAATCACATCCTTTTATAAAGTTTGGTTTTACATTTTATATTTACGATATATTTTAGTGCTCAAATCCGTACAAACCTTTAGATTGTACTTTCTAAGTAACTGTAAAACAGCCAGCAGTGGGGTTGATTTCTCACTCATCTTGGAGATTCTGCAAGAAGCTGAATTGTTCAGTAATTAGTAAATAATGGACAATTAAAAACTTGTTGTTTTAACACTAACGCAGCGTAACGATAAACATGTTTATAGTCGGATTTTTAATTAGACGAAGCCAGCTGACAGTCGCTAATGTCACTTAGTAAAATAATGTTGCTATATTTAAACTAATAGTGATGCATTCAGTTCTCGTTCAATCACATGAGTGTGAAGAGTTAATCATTAATTTCAAACTATAAAAGAATATTATTTATATTATATATATATTATTTTTACAATAAAATTGTATTAAAGTGCTCCAATATATGTTACTAGTAGTTTGTAACTACAATCAGTTTTTTATTTTCATTACCTACCTTTAATTGTTATATTTTATACATCTATAGTTTCAACTATATGATGTATTGGAAATAGGACAGTCTTACAAGCTTCCTCGCAATGTTTTTCTTAATGTTTAAAACACTCGGTATTCAGTACAGGTAGATACTATAGGAACATAATGTTTCGTCGAAAACTCGTTGGTATGTACAAAGCACGCCTAAAATTCGAACCCCGTACCCGATATCGGCAATTCGGCACACCAACTATTCACTAGACAATCGAGGCAATTTCATTAATTCAGGAGTTTTTTCAATCGTTCACTTTGTCACAACACTATTTTTATTTCATCAAAAACTGACAACACAGTAAACGTCAGTTGACTTCGTCTANTCGTTGGTATGTACAAAGCACGCCTAAAATTCGAACCCCGTACCCGATATCGGCAATTCGGCACACCAACTATTCACTAGACAATCGAGGCAATTTCATTAATTCAGGAGTTTTTTCAATCGTTCACTTTGTCACAACACTATTTTTATTTCATCAAAAACTGACAACACAGTAAACGTCAGTTGACTTCGTCTAATAATTTTTTTTTTTTAAGGGATTTTATGACCTGGTAACTGAGACCTTTAAGTCATGTCTTGTTTTAATTTATATTAATATTTTTATGAAAAATGATATTATGGAGTGAAATGAAATGAAGATGAATAATTTGAGACATTAATCAACTGAGATGAAATTAAATGAAATGAAATGGGATGAAATATAATCTCAGTAAAATGGTGGTCATTTACTAAGATTATTTCAATGGACTTTTTGGAGGATCCCGAGAAGTTACGTCCAGCGGCTTTGTTTCATTTTCCCACATTTTTGCACTTTCACAGATATTAAACAGTTAATAAACCACCATTATTACACATTTAAACTCGAAGAAACACTAAATAAACAAAATAAAACAAATCACACAACTTCACTCCTCGCATTCCCGCCAAAAAGTCACTTCGTCTAATAAAAAATCAAATCCGACTATAGAGTATGAGTAGAGTAGAGTATTGTTTAGGTTACACAAAAAAAAATGTCATTTTATTATCTATGTCAGATGTCAGAGTGACAATATTAGGGTTAAGATAATGTTGAAAATCGATTTTAATGTGGATATTGAAACTATTTTTCATTAGCAACTATCCTTTCTCAGTCTTTGAAGTTTGAACTATTCTAATAAATATTTTGACCGTATTGACACATTTTGATATACCTACATTTGTCCTATATTTTATAGATTACGATGTCTATGCTTCACGGCAGAAATAGGCAGAGCGGTGGTACCTACACGTGCGGACTCACAAGAGGTTCTACCACCAGTAATTACGCAAATTATAATTTTAAATTGTAACTCCGACATGCCCCGCCCGCAATATCCAGTGGAGGGTGGAAGTCCGGCGATTTCCTCCTGACAAAAAAAAAACATATTTTTTTTCTACCTACGCCGAAAGTTCGGTTTTCCTCCCGATGTACAGGGAAGAAAGTCTAACTTTTCCTCCCGCTGTGCCGGGAAGAAAGTGTAACTTTTCCTCCCTGTGCGCATGCGCGTTAGTGTCTACGTCTGCTCTCACGCACCAAAAATTCTCCGCCATTGTTGTGCTCGGGTAATTTGCAACATTGTGTTTAGTGTAAAAGTGAAATAAACAATATTGAAGTATTAAACAAAGATGAGTTCATCAGACAATTTTTATTCAATTAGTAGTAGTATATTTAAAAATTAAAAAACAATTAAATTGTTTCTTCATGAATATGAGGGGGGATCCGCCCCCCCTAGACCCCACCAGGGCTTCGCCCCGGCTCGGTACTCCACGAACTTTCGGCCTGGTAGGAGAAAAAATAGTATGTGCACCGCGGGAAAAAGTAGGACATCTCATCCCGCGTGTTTGCAATTTTACACGCGGGAGGAAATGTCCTACTTTTTTCCCTTGGTGCACAATGTACTATTTTCTTTCAACCATTTCATCTCTGTTTATCTCGTTATAGTTAATTCTATTTTATGTTTTAAGATATAAGATTGAGATTTTAAACCATAGGCTTACAGTAATCGTGCATCGGAATTTAATCTTTACTTCTGATCAGTAATTATCAGGCCCCTGCAAATTCATTGTTTAAAGAAAAGTGGTAAAACATGTACATCTATACTAATATATAAAAATCTATAGTGGTTTTTACGGATGTTCCGTTATAACTACTGAACCATGCATCCGATTGACTTGAAACTTGGTACCCGTGTAGAAAATACATACATGTACTTATATGGATAGGCTAATTTTATATGAGTGTTGGACTCCCTAATAATAATGACAATAAATAATAATGTTAATTTTAAAACCCCAGCGAAGCGGGCGAGTACCTACGGCTAGTTATTATTTTATTATATAATTAGGTAAAAAGTAGTGAAAGGCCTTCCTTTTTAAACATCGAATGTGAAATTCGGAAAAAATGAGAAACTAAATTGTTCTTTAATTATGATGGGTTTTTTTTTGTTAGGGAAATATTGCCGTATTTAAATAAAAAAATGTTTTTGAGGTAAATTATTTATTTGTCAGTACAATGATTTTGGTCATAAAAATTATAAAATTTATTAAAGGATCTCTAACTTTAATAACTAGCATAGCTCGTTGACCTATATCCGACTATTTTGTAAAAATGTAACCAAATATCTGACTCGTGAGAGATGAGGCTGGCTACGTTTTTTTCTTACTGGATTAAGTGAGGGAACGTACTAAAAGCACACCTGGTGCAAAGTACTCGAGCCCAGACCTTGAAAGCAACAGAAATATCACCCACTTTGAGGTCACACGAAGTCGACTTATCAATCGTATTGTTTAATGTATAATGTAATAATATTGGTATATCTAAGTACCTGCGCCGAACCTTGAGTACACTTGAGATTGCTGACAAGAGGAGGAGGATAGGCTGCAACTTAACTTTAACTTTAATTCACGGTCAACGATTTAGATACCCATAAGACTATTGTTGTCAACCAGTATGTGTGTTATAATATAACATAGCTATAACTATTTAAAACGATATACTGGGATAAACCATGTAGATTTTGTAGGTGACGTAGAGACCATGTAGAAGACATACTTAGCTAAAAAATATAGGTGTCATCAGCATTAGAGCTGTCGGTTACGGTGGCCACGGTGTTAAAGTAAAAGGATTCTAATCCTAAAGCCTGATTTAAACGATATACATAGCTGATATTGAGCAGTGTGACTTACAAAAGATGGTCGATTTAGAATTTTTTCTTATGTTATGGGTACCAAGACGTAAACAAAATACGTATACGAAGAAAAAATTCAGAATACAAACTATTTATTAAAATGATTCTGACTTCAATTGTAAATTCTACCCGGACTTTCTTATGAGGCAGTCAGGGCCTAGTTACAGAGGTTACACCATTAACCCACTCACAAAGACGTGTAGTTGTTAATGATGGAAAATTATGTTTATTACTAAGTATTCCGTTGGGCTATATGAACTATATTCAATCATCGATAGTTGCTTAGATACAAGCCAAAATATCTTATAGGATACATCAATTTTAAGCATGTTGGTACTTACAAAAAATTTCTTAGAACAGGAGATCATAAATATAAATGATTACCATCAATTTTAAATTCAGGTCAATTTACAAATTGAGGGTAATCATTTATTAATCATTTATCAAGTAATCAATTTGAAAACCGCTATTGACACATTCTTACAAAGCAACTGTCTATTTGTATATTTATTCTATTTTTAACGATATTGTTTTAATTAGAATGGTGTTAGAATTTGTTAGAACGTTACAATGCTATAAGATTATAAAATTAAAACAATAAATTTATATTTTGCAAAGCTGCTTACAATTAACATTACTGTTTGGTTTTCTCTTATTTAAAACGAGATATGTTTGCAGAGACCTTCTTTTGGGAAGGTTTTAAATAATATTTAGCTTATAATTATTTTAACTAGTAGTTAAATTAAAATTGACAGAACATACGTTACAAAATTGCATGCTTATTAATTATTATTGTTAATTATAAAACTTTTCAGTCTTGGGATCCGCTTAATACAAGTGGGTTCAGTAGTTAAATGGTTAAAATCAAAGTATGCTTTTTAAAATTGTATCAATGAGGAACTTGACATTGACTAATTTCACTCTGCTCTGCTCTGCTCCTAATATGTCGGATTCTCATTGTCGACAAACCAATCAGGCAGAGTCCAGACAGGCTCATATAGGTTCCGTGTCTGGCTTCCCCACAGATGGAATAATGACTAGGGAAAATAGCTGGTTCAGGTTCGATAGTGATTATATAGTATGTTCGTAGTTGAGGGAAATATACATGAAATGAAGCACTCTGTATCTACCAAACCGCTCTGTACGCAATCTCTTCCTTCAGTTTCATTAACAAGGGTATGGTATCGAAACTCGGATTCTATTACCTCTTGCTACCTACCTGCCTGCTTTACCAATTGACTAATGAAAATACGTTCTTGAGTCATGTGACTGTACAATAAATTACCTACCATATGATGTGAGTTACATTAGCAGGCTACGAATCAATAAACATTTTGAACAAATTTAAATTTCGAAGATTTTTTTTATGTTGTAATTTCGTATGCCAAAGTAGTGATCTTATTATTGACACACAAACATAATTTTATATAATTACTGGTTGTAGGGATATTAATTATACGTAGGTACAGCCTACATCGTAGAGCAACACGGCGTGCCAGAACCTGCCACGCCTCCGCATCGTACGTTCGAGAGATAATTATATACATTTTAAATGTAAAAATATATATAATATTCTTTGTATACTTTAATAATTCATTCATTTAATGAATAAGAAAGTATCTTAATTAAAAATCAAGATATTTAATCCGTCATAGATTGACAATAACGACAGATTCGTGCGAGTTCACAAGCCATGAGTATATTAATTTTTTTTATGGCAATGAGGTGTTTTTGCGACAACTTTTGATGATAAACAGCTTTGTTTGTTCTTAGTGTTTGTGTGAGTGTTTATTAACTATATACATATGTATCTATATACATATACATATGTATCTATATGTATAAAAATGAACCCCTATTTCCCTTGTTCACGACATCACGCGCGAACGGCTGGACAGATTGCGCTAATCTTTTTTTTTTGTTGTGTTTGTTATTATCAGGACAAGGTTCTTATGAAAGAAAAAATTAAGAAAATTGCACGGAAAATTAAAATAGTTAAGAAAACTTAACCACCATATTAACTTTTCTAATGTAACCTTATGGCGTTTGACGTAGCATTGACAGAATGCGTGCTGCAAATATCCTCAAAGAGGACGTAAAAAAACTGAATATCGCTTAAAACAAATGCTTCGGTTGAAGTTGTAGGTATTGATAAAATACTTAAGAGGATGTAAAAAAACTGAATTTCACAGTTCACGGCAAACCGTTGCTATTGGGCCAATAAACGTTGTGTGCCAATATTTCAAGGTATTTAAGTATAAAAATGAAGTTCCTGGTTTGTCCGGTTTGAGCCCCGTGAGCTCACGTTAGGGTGAAGCTGAAATAGTCTCTCAAGGCTATCAGCATAGGTAGGAAAAAAAAAGTGTTGTTCGAACGGTCAATTCAAATTGACGCAATTGGTACCGCCACCGGAGCCACTACATTCATTGGTTTGGAAATGGAACATTCATTGAAAATAAACCAGATTCTAAGCATTTTCTGACTTATACCAGCAATACAATAATTGCTTTCAAATGAAATTATGCAACACTTTATGCCAACTTTCAAGGTTAGTATATTGAAAAACAATGAACTTTTACCAACACCTGTCTATTGCAGAATACGTTAACAGGCTTCAATTGAAATGGTGTATCAATTGAAAGGGCGTAAGGTGCATTTGTAGCTCTACGAATTGCCAGAAGTAGCCAGAAGAGACTAGGCAATAGATAGGGATAGGGGAATGGTAGTGCTGACAGTATTTTGAGAGCCACATGATAGAACTTAATGATGGTACTACAAACAATTCGTTATACAATATCCTATATTACATCATTTTCTCAAGTTCAAATTTGTATAAAGGAAAATTTAATAAAATCAAATAAATGATAGTATCCGAAGCGAAGCGAGAGCGGGAAGTGGGGTCCCCCCAGGTCACTGGAATAGGTAGGTAGGAAAAAACAGTAAAATCTATGTCCAAAAGTAAATTAATGTCCACAGCAGCTTATTTTTGGTAGGTAGATTGTAGTACATCAAAATCTGATAAAGATCATTGGATCGCATTTGTTATTTTTAAATACGTTTGTTTTTAAATAGTAACAAAATATCCATACATTTTTTTTCAATTTATACTTGCATTACTAAAGTAACTACGATGATATTTCAATTCACATGTAAATGAATTGTACCTATGAAACGTCTCAATTAATATCAACAACACTAAATTAAAACTAACCTAGCCACTATTCGCGGGTTGACGCAATCACATTAATCGTAGTCATAGGCGGGGATTTACGTCTAAGGACAACAAATACGCATAATTATTCTTCTAAATTTATGTTACAACTATTGGTCGTCAAAAGATAAAGCTATAGAATAATTATGAATAGTATTTACAGACAATTGTTTTTTTGATTCTCGAAAAATTCTAAGCCTTCAATGTTTTTATTTGGTAACAAGTCATTACCTACTTTAAGAATTTACCTAATCTTTTTCACAAATAGTAAATTATTTTCCAATATTATTAGTATGTAAAGGTAAAATAAGTAAGCAAGTCTCGCATGTTTAAAAAAAACAAGTAAATAGCTATCTAATAAATAGGTAAATCTATGTTAAACTATTTAAAAATAAAATTGTAGCAGTAAAACAGTATTTGTAATTATTAAATGTTTTGTTACATATAATGAAATATATGCCACCGGCAATAGCAGAATTACGAATAAAATATAAAAAAACTCTTTCCAGTTTTGTCAACCCCTCTATTTTTCTACAATTATTCTGAAAAGTAGGTATTATATTTACAATTTTAGAAGAAAGGGTTTGTTATAAATTCTATCACAATCAACGAAATTAAGGTAACTTATTAAAGTAGGGGCTCTATTATTGGAGGTGACATTTACACTTAATATTATTTTTACTTTACTAAAATGAAATTGTAAGAAGAAGAAAGAAAAATTCTTCATATCTTCATTGCCGGATTTCATCTAATTTCTAGATCACAACCCTTGCATGAATATTAAGGTTATTTGCGGTGCCATAATAAATTGCAGCTGCCTACTATATCTAAATTGAAAGTATTCATTAGCTTAAAAAGTCTTAAACATCTTGACTGGAGCAGTTATGAGCGTCGAAAATTCGCGGTGGCACGTCTTCGTAAGGAACAACACGAGCAGCTGCCAATTCTTTAGCTACCCTCTCTGTTGCGCCCATTACCCGGAGTAGATTCAGTCCGGCAAGCTTACGAAGATCTTCTATGCTCCAGCCTGCCTCCATCAGCTCGGCAAATAACAATGGATAGGATGATACATCTTCCAGACCTTGTGGTGTACTGAAAATATTATAGTTTGATTTTAAATAACAATTTAATTGAAGATTATTTTATTTTAGTATTTTAAACGGACACCTTAACATTAAAAGAAGAATTGATATTGTCTCAAAAGGCACTCAGATGATCGTGTCTGAACTCAATTTTGGAGATCTTCTTACCAGATTGGCGAAGGATGGGAACGTTTTTTGATTTTTGTGGATTTGCATGGATACACGTAAATTTTTTGGCACAGCTTAAACTTTTTGACGGACATCAACCTACTTAACTCATTTTTTTTGTGTCAATCTAAGGTTTCATAAGATTATATAAAAATCACATTTTTAATCACGTGTTAAAATCATGTTAATTTCTCAATTTTATCAGTAAATAATCAGGAAGTCAATAAATAATCTGTTTTTAGATATTTGTACAATAGGCATATTAAGCGTGCTGATAATGGCCACGCCATTAGTAAAGGCTTGTGAGTTGAGATCAACGAACAGGGACTCACTAATTAATCCCATCGTACCCAGCGCCAAGGCCGACGCTGTCCACACCGGCCACGTTCCGTATATGATTTATGTGAGCTGAAAAAAACTTCATTAAAAAACTCTTGTTATCATTGAACAAAAAAAAATGAAAAGAGTTCCTAGTTTTTATATTAAATATAATAATAACTTGTTAATGTAATAAACTTTAAATATTACGTTTAAGTACTTAATAAAGGATAAGTTGTTTAATTTGTTTCTCTTTTTTTCAATTTAAGATTCCGTTAATCGGAAAACACACATAGAAACATATGTTCATATATTGAGAAAACAAAAATTCATACCCGAATGATTAACTTTGAATACTGGATTTGTTTTGAAAATGATAGACATAAATTCCATTAAAACTCACCAATCGCATCTTGAACGGTTGCTGTTTCCTTACAAGTGAGGAATGAAGTATAAAAATTCACCATTATGAGTCCTTTGTTGGCAGCTAACATTCTCAGTATTGTGTCAGGAACGTTACGAGTAACGTTGCAAAGAGCTCGTGCAGAAGAGTGAGAAAAAAGCACTGGTGCTCGTGAGACAGCCAGAGCATCACGCATAGTTCGCTCTGACACGTGAGATAAATCCACTAGCATTCCCAATCTGTTCATTTCCTTTATTACTACCTAAAAATTAAGAGACGATGAAACGCAAGAACCATAAATCGATATGATGTGAAGAAACAACATTATTCCTGAAATAAACCCATGTGTGTTATAACTTTCTCGGATATTGAGATTTTAAACTATATGCCTAATATAGTAGATAGAATACAGTGATGCCAACTTCGGGGTTTTCCCCCCAAATTTAGGGGGAAAAAATTTATACAGGGATTTTTTAGGGGGTGAAGTTTTTTGGGGATATTTTTAGGGATAAAATTTTATTTGTATTTTTTTAAAATTTTCTACGTACATCAACAAAAATAACAATATCATAATGTGATGAAATTAAAGAAAAATACTAAATAACTATTGTTTCCGTCATTGGGGAGTTTTGTTTTGAATTGAGTGGTTTTTTTGGGGAGTTTTGTTTTGAATTTAGTGGTTTTTGAAATTGCTTTAGGGGGAAAGTTTTCAAACAGTTGGCGACACTGATAGAATAATATACCCAAATAAAATCAATATTTTAATTTTGTAATAAATTAATCTTTATAGTTTAAGTTTCGGTATTTTTGTTTTATATTCGTTCACGCGTTTGTTAACCGATTAAGTTGAAGCTTCATACAGTGATATTGTTGCATTTCAGGGTAGTTTTTTGATATAGCACCAATTTTATTGATAGTAGGACGTGTTGTGAGTCCGCACGGGTAGGTACCACCACCCTGTCTATTTCTGCCGCGAAACAGTAATGGATTTCGATTTGATAGGAGGGGCAGCCGTACTGTTAAAACTGAGACCTTAGAATTGATGTCTCCAGGTGAGTGGCGGTATTTATGTTGTAGATGATAGACATATCCTCCAGTAACCACTTAACGGTGGGCCGTGAGCTCGTCCAACCATCTAAGTAATAAAAAAACATCAACGTATGTAACTTGCTACAAGTACGAGGGCTGCACTAAGAGTATCGGGAATGGAATATTTCCACTGTTCCTGTCATATTAAAATCTTTTTAATTGAAAACTCCTTGGTTTTAAAAATCGAATACCATTTATTTATTTAAAAAAAGATTCTCGGTCTTGTCACGAGATTTTGTCAAACTTGTTTAGTCGTTGAGAAAATGGAATTGACTCGAGAAAATTCAAAAGCGATGATTTATTATGACTTTCGAAGTGGTTTAACACAAAAACAGTGTGTTGACCGGATGATTTCTGCATTTGGTGATGAAGCCCCATCCAAAACCACAATTTATCGCTGGTTTGCTGAGTTTCAACGTGGACGTGTCAAGCTCAGTGATGATCCCCGTCAAGGTCGTCCAAAAACTGCAGTCACCCAAGAAAACGTTGATGCTGTGCGTAAGCTGATTGAGGAAGATCGACATGTGACATACCGCGAAATTCAGGCAACTTTAGACATTGGCATGAGTCAAATACAAATAATCTTGCATGAACAATTAGGTGTAAAAAAGTTGTTTTCCCGATGGATACCGCATTCGCTTTGTGAAGAGCAAAAAGCGTCTCGCGTTACTTGGTGCGTCAGAACTCTCGAAAGATTCCACGCAGGATCCTCAAATGCTGTATACAATATTGTATCAGGTGACGAATCCTGGATATATGCGTACGAACCCGAAAAAAAAAACCAGTCACGAGTTTGGGTGTTCGAAAATGAGTTAAAGCCAACAAAAACTGTTCGTTAACGGAGTGTTGCAAAAAAAATGGTGACCACGTTTGTCTCCAAAACCGGCCATGTTACGACTATTCCTCTTGAGGGACAAAGAACGGTTAATGCAGAATGGTATGCTAGCATTTGTTTGCTACAGGTCGTTTCTGAACTCCGTAAAGAGAACTGCAACCGCCGCATCATCCTCCATTACGACAATGCGAGTTCTCACACCGCGCACAGGACAAAAGAGTTTTTAGAGCAAGAAAACATAGAATTATTAGACCATCCGCCGTACAGCCCCGACCTAAGCCCTAATGATTTCTATACTTTCCCTAAAATAAAGAATAAATTGCGTGGACAGAGATTTTCATCACCTGAAGAAGCTGTGGAGGCCTACAAAACGGCCATTTTGGAGACCCCAACTTCCGAATGGAATTGTTGCTTCAATGATTGGTTCCATCGTATGGAAAAATGTGTCAAATTTCGCGGAGAATACTTCGAAAAGCAATAAATACATTTTTAAATAGTAATGTTGTGTCACTTCGTTAATTCCCGAAATTTTCAGTGCCGCCTAGGTAATGTATGTATTTCATACATTTCTATATAGCTACAGCAAAGCATCCACGCTATTCACGTCGGTACATATATATGTATGTATATTGTTATTGTTGTAAAGGTTTTGTATTGGCATACTGTAGCCTCAAAATAAGATCGGCGAATAAGTCAGTAGTATGATTTATTTTACATTATTTATTAAGTATTACCGGTATATTTTTGGTGACGGAATGTTTTTTATTTCGTCTTTATTCATTAATTTTTAATTTATTTTCATCGAGATTATATTATACATAATATCTCGATGTTTATTTTACAAAATAATTGTTGTTCCAAATATATGCTATTGGCTATATTATAACATTATCAATAATAATAATAATTATGATGTTCTTCAATCATGCAACATACTTATTTGATTTATTGAAACTGCACGCGCTACCAGATTTGCGCTGATGATAAGACCTGATACAAAGTAACGTAATTTACATTTGAATACATTAGTTATTTGAAGTGTTGGCGATCGAATAAAGTATTTCATTAAAACATAAATTTTAAAAACAAAAACTGAATAAACCCTTTTGTTGTTCGATTATTGGCCACGAACTATTGTTCTGCTGCTTTTGAAGTATAAGTTTGCGTATTAATTGCCAACTTCTTCAGACATTTGAGAGTAGTGAATTGAGAACTGTGGTCTACAAATTCTGAACGCGACAAATTGTATTAATTAGCCTTAAAGTTTGAATGGTGTCTGCCGCTTAACAGGTTTTGAAGTTGGCATGGATCGTGATTTATTTGTTTTGTTTACCTTTTGTAGAACCAATTTCAATTTATTTTCAGTTTATTAGCGAGCAATTAATTTTTTACATTTGGTGCAATGTCCGTGCATTGGATTTAAAAAATCCTTTGTAGAAAATGATTCTTGAAGAATATGAATCTCCTGTCTCACCTGTCTCATATGTGCACGCAATGAGTGGTTTTAACAAAAGAAAGTATTTAGGAAAGTATCGTTGTTGATAAACAAAGAAGTGGCGGGCTCGACGAGCTGTAGTTGGAGTTCGTACAAAGCGAGATATTGCGGCGTGTACATCACATACTATGTACAGCACTCGGCATGTTTATGATTATGGTGCACTCACTCTACTCGAGACGTCTCAATCTTAACGTTTAAGTACTTGCTCGATGTGTACAACTACGCTTTATATTTGTAGTTTGCACAAAACGAGAGCTGCCTTTTTGTGAGGTTTTTTTATGGTTCGTAACAATTGCATAAATAATCTATATTTATAAATTTTATAAATAGGCAAGAAAGTTCAGTGTCTTTCTGCTCTATTTGTTTTTTTTTTTTTTCGTTTAGTAGCTGTTATCGACAATCAATTAATAACAAAATGGAAACTGTTTTTTTTATCTTTAAGTGAAACACGTTTCAAAACCATCAGCAGCCCACAGACTATATCCATAACGAATAACAATTTAACACATCAGAAGCATCTAAATCTTGTGGATTCAGTGGTTATAGTCGTATTCGATACTGGTGGGATAATGAGTGAACATTTGAAACAGGTGGTAAGGCTGAGGAGTCCGGTCGCGAAAGTTAAAAAACCCTTGAATATATATGCATTCTTATATGTTAAACATATATATGCGACCATATAAGCCATACCGCTGTATCAAACTTTTTATTTCAAAAATATCAACTGTAGGCAATGTAAGACAAATAAAATCAACTGGCATGCGGTGTCACCGCCTCTCCTTATATCACGCACAGTAAATTGTAATTCAAAACGAACTAGAGAGCTCATTATGATTGGTTTATTTACATTTTTCTAATTAGTCTAAATGTTTACACAGGTTTGCTCAATTAAACAGGATATTGTTTGATGTTTACACAATTAAGAGACCATGTTTACAATTCACAATTCATGTGTTTATGTTGGGTACCTCGGAATATAGGTCATGTTTATTATTTTTATCTCTACTTATTAACATCTATTGCTAATTCTATTCTAATTCATTAATTTGTACCGGTGCATATGTTTATGATTTTAGTACATTTAGAAAACAAAAAAAAACTATTCATTTTATTCGGAAGCTTACTCAATTCAGTTTTTTTATGATTGATGGATTACTGGTGGCCCAGAGGTATTTCAATATTCCAGTTTCACAAGGACAGGTGGGCGAGCAAGGGCTCAGCCAGAAGAGGGGGATTTGCTAACAGCTACTCGAGCGCCTACAAGAGAGATCTAACAACTCAAGAGTGGCTGTTTCGCGAATGAATCTACTACCGGATCGGAATCGCGACCCGCTGAGAAGGTCCGGCGAGAAACTCAACTTTAGGCTAGGTTAGAACTCTTTGCCGAGTTCGACGAGTACGATTACCGGGGTCCCTACTCCTAGTGTTAGAGCTGAAGCCGTCTAATGCAAGGGTTATTGGGTCTGATGGATCCGTAAGGACGTATCTAGGGCAACGACGGTGACTGATTCGAGGTTGGAGTCGTCGTGTAAATCAACGTTCCTCACGAACCACGGAGCTCCGACGGCTAACCTGCAAAAACGAGATTGTGGCGATTGGAGGGTGTCTATGTCTATGTGGACCGCATGAGCGAACACCACACCCGCGTAAGACATGACAGGTTTTATGCAAGTTTTGTAAAGTGTCATCTTGTTCCGAAATGACATTTTACTCCGCTTACAGATCATGGGGTAGACTCTGTCGAGAATAAATGCGGCACGGTCGCGGACTGCTTTTATATGTGGGCGGAATGTCATGTATGCATCCAGGGTGACACCTAGGTACTTGACCTTCCTGGTCCAGGGTATGAATTGGCCGAAGAGGGTGATCGGGGGTGTGAGATTCCTCCTTCTAATCCGGGAGGAAATCCGTGTGGAGTCAATTCAGCTGCAAAAATCTGAAATTAAATTTGTTCCATTATTAATCTCTAGAATCGAAGCACATACCTTTCCAAAAGCCGTGAGTCCTCCCCGGGGCGATGGTTCAACTCTGTCAGCAGAAGCGCACTCAGCCCAGGGCGTGTCACAAGTAGAGGTCAATGTCAAGTAACGAACGCCGACCTGGTACAGTGTTCTTAGCACCCCAAGAGAACTGCCAATAGCGTGACCGCCTTCGACACCAATCAACGAGCATACACGATGATTAGCGTGCGCTATTTTTATATCTGTTCCAAAAATGAAATCTGAATTTTAATAATCGAATAAACTAAAAAAAATTAAAACACTTCGTGATGGTTGTTTGATTATTCATAGAGATGTTCAATTATTGTAAGATTTTACATATGATTTTCGCAATTTTATGTACAATAATCACTGTGCTCAAAACAGTAATTACCGATTTATAAAAGTATATTTTTCAAAATAAATACATTGATTGAATTGTTTTATTGGTTAGTGTAATGTTTCTTCAGGCTTAAATGTGGAACACTGGAGGCTTATTAACTGTTTTATTATCTGCGAAAGTGCACAAATGTAGGAAAATGAAACAAGGCTGCGGAACGTAGCTTCTCGGGATCCTCCAAAAAGTCCACTGAAAAAGTCTCAATAAATGACCACCATTTTACGGAGATTTTAATTCATCACATATATTATCATCACATTTGTAAATTTAACTCATTTTTAATAATTTATGTTATATCGCGATTAGTCTCCTTCGTTTTTTATTATTCATAAACTGTAAATGATAAAAATGGCGAATTATAAAAATCTTAAAAATCTTATTGCTTGACGCTGGTTAATGCACAAGCCGTGCCGGAGCCAAAAAATAAAGAAAAAGAAGAAACCTAACGTGGGCTTTTTGGCGGGAATGCGAGAAACATAATTATATTATATGAACTGTTTTATTTTGTTCATTTAGTATTTATTACTTCAATCTTAAACGTGTACTAATGGTGGTTTAAACGTGTGCTATTTTATATTATTTTATTTCATCTCGTATCATTACGTTTTATCCGAATTGATTACAATTTTAGATAAATCAACTTCACCTCATTCCGAAACCTATCACGTTTCATTTAACAGGTTAAGTATGTATTTTAATATAATTATTCAATATATTATAATATTATTTGTTTTTCTATAAAGTCTACACTAGCAACTATGGCATCACAAAAAGCCGATTGCCATACTGAAAAGAAAAAGAAGAAATATTCCAATATGGATGAATCCGAAATTAAACACCGCGATATATCGCATACAAAAACGTCTTAATATTTTCAGTCCTTGATTACCTTCGGCAGAAGTGCACATTGTAAGCTGAGGTTGATATTTTTCAGTGAGTCGCTGGATGAGGTCAATTTGCTCGAACGTCAGCTGCACGGCGTCGCGGTGTTGCGCATCGCAAGGCACGTACGCCGCCCAGAACTGACACACAATGTACATCTGACGTGAACTTAGATTAAAAACACGCACGACTACCCACTTTTATTGAACTTCTTGTATCAGAATTTCCCGTGGAGCTTGCGTAACCCATAAATAAAGTCAACAGAAAACACTTTTAAGATTTAACTTTGTTTTTACTTTATACAGTTCAATTTTTTTATTTTTTTATTTTTATTGCTTAGACGAGTGGACGAGCTCACAGCCCACCTGGCGTTAAGTGGTTACTGGAGCCCATAGACATCTACAACGTAAATGCGCCACCCATCTTGAGATATAAGTTCTAAGGTCTCAATTATAGTTACAACGGTTGCCCCACCCTTCAAACCGAAACGCATTACTGCTTCACGGCAGAAATAGGCAGGGTGGTGGTACCTACCCGTGCGGACTCACAAGAGGTCCTACCACCAGTAAAATATTTTGTTGTAACTAATTATCGTTTCATAAAAGTGTTTTAGATGTGGGAATCATGATATAAATTATAAGCTACCATGTATGGAAATACAAAACTTTTGAATTTAAAAAAATCCCACAGAAATCGCCACTCACCTTGAGACATGAGATCTAAGTTTCTATTGTACTGTTTAACACCTGTCTTACTCTTCATGCCGGAACACATTATTGTAGTGGACCTAGACCTACCTACTTGCTCGGGCCTTAAAACTATTAAACTATTAAACACTATTAAAAAAATCATTTACCGTTATTATTTATTAGTTTCAAAATGTTTCGTGTCAAAAGGTGGGATATACACAATATGTAGATTAGCATCAATGCGTGTGCTCGGTTTAAATCAATAGTTTAACCTCGTAATAATCAATTCAGTAAATTACAGAATTGCCTTACAATTAACGTCGCGTTGGCTTGATCACTTAGGTTTTATCCTATCATACAAATTATCACATTATCATAATTATGTTCATAATATCGTATCGTTAAGTAAATAATATATTAAATTTATAAGTTAACCGTCAAAAAAAGATAAACAAATTAGAAATCATTATAAGTGAAAACGATTTTGGGAAATTAATGTTTGGTACCTGAGCAGCGACCCTGCCTTGTTTTAACCTCGGCAAATCAGTGTGGCTCCACGAGCTCGTCGCCCATGGTGATATCGTCCTCAAGTCCTCATCAAACCTAAGACACAAAATGTTGAAAACGTGTTCACAAATGACTTCCACGATTAAAGAGTAAATACCGTGTAATAAAAATCAAACCCGCAAAAAATATAATTTGCGTAATTACTGGGACTTAGAAGTCATCTTTCGAGGTGGGTGGCGGCCTATGATGTTTATGAGCTCCGATGACCACTTAAAAGCAGGTGGGCTGTGAGCTCGTCCATCCACTTTAGCAATAAAAAAAAAGAAAATTTCGAATCTCTCAGATTTATTACAATAACCAGATCGAATTCAGTCCCGCAGGCGCTGCAAACGACTTGGCATCGTGCCAATGTGTCCATCAACATTAACCTATAGAAGGAAGTATTATTTGTACGATCAGTGGTATAATTCTGAACTTACAATTCTTCCTATTATCCGTTGTATATAATAGCAATCGTTGTTATATAATGGAGATTGCCACTTCATATCTCAAGGTGGATGTCAGCATTTACGTAGGGTGTGGTCTGCTGGGACCGTTTCATATCAAGTTATCCGTGATTTTTACTGTCAAATTTGAGCATATGGACCACCGTACTAGCCGATAAACGGAGTGAAGATAGCAAGAAACTACTATCATTTCAAACCTTAGGTTTAAGACGTTAAACTATAATTACAATTGAGACTTCGTACAATTGAGACCTCATGTCACAAGGAAGATGTTGTCATATTGTGATAAAAAGATTCAGTGAAACTTACGAAAAGTCTTTAATCTTGTTGTGTAGAAATTTTCTTATATTCCAAGGCAAGTCGTTGTGTCCGTCGATAAGAGGCGTATCGTGTAATAGTCTTTCGGCCAGTCGAAGTCTTTCATGCAGCGGAGCGCCTGGAGGAGCTCTCAAAGCAAGAGGGCCTGCTACGCACGCGGTCCCGGCTACCAGTACTAAAACTGCTACGCAGCACCATCGACGGTGCCATATTGAAAAACCTGAGAAATACTCAAAGGTAAATTTCAAATAATAATTGATCCTCATGTTGCTTTTGCTTATGATATTGAAAAAGTGGACGAAGCGTACTCATCAACATTGTATCGAATCGTAAATTTAAAGCTAAAGTTAAGTGCCCTAGCATCTGACGAAGTTTTCATTTACATTGTAATTAAGTTGAAGCAAAGATAGGTACAGAAATACAAAAAATTAAAAATCTCATCGCACAAGTTACGAGAATTTTCGGGTATCCAATATTCGCAGTAATCGGTAAGACGTCGAGAGACTGATTTGTAATTATTTATACTTAATTTGTTTCAAAACTCACGAGAAGAATTTCCAGTTGTAGTTGAACTGTGGCTTGTAGTCGATGTTGTACCAGTAGATATCCATTGCGGTACTTTGCAAGCGCTACAAACGTTTGCGCGAGTCCCTTGACTACGCTCTGTCACGTCAGGTGCTGGCGCCGACCGTTTCTTGCCCTAAAAACAAAACAGAATTTTGAAACAAATGTATTTATAAATCGCCAACAAATACATTGACACTTACTTGCGAGTCGTAGAATAAAGAAGGCATTCTATTATCATAGCTCTGGGTACAGGTACAATGTGCGTGTGTCGGCCTCGTTCCTGTCATTGCCACTACGTCGTTGTCAATAAACGTGTGGACATCATCGTCGACTAAATCACTTCGAGTACTCCTGGACTCAATAGTATTTTCATTTGTCATCCATGTCTCCGTGATTTTCTCCTTGCATCGATCACTAGGAAAATCGTTGTATGATAGTTGTCTACGGATACTCCTACATCTACTTCGATTGTCTAAAGTAGAAAATTTCATTGCATCTATATCTACATTATTCCTGCGGATCAGCTCCTGATTGTTATCAAAAGTTCTTATTTTTTGTGTCGTATTGTTTATATCCATGACTGTATTGGAATCTTTCAGTCTATCAAAGCATTGGTCCACGTTACCAGAAAAATTTGCGTATGTTGACGCTTTGTGTTTGTACTCGTCTCTATTAACTGTCGCTGATGGATATATGTTGCTATGGCTGTTAACTCTTCTTTGTGGTTTGTCCGCAATCGACAGCATAGATAGTTTTTTCAGGGAGCTGGTAGACCCGGATGCTATATCGGCGAGTTGGACAGCGTTTTGATGTTTCTTGGTGATAGCATCTCCACCGATTTTTTTTAAATTAGATAGTTTTCTCTTGATTTTTTGGACAAGAGTATTTCTTGGGTCATACGATATTAATTGTTTCGAAATATAATTAGAGACACCAATGGATTTATTTCTTGTTTGTTTTCTGTCGAGACTTCGGTGTGATCCCACGTTTATTAGACTTCTATCGGTTTCTCTTTTGATTCTCTCTAAATCATAAATATTTAGAGTGTGGCCTCGATGATCAGAAACATTTCGATGACAGTTTAGGTAGTTGTTCTGTTGTATATTACAATTGCAAACTAAGTCTAAATCATGTTTTGATATGTGTTCACTTAGACACTGTCGCTGGGCAGCTAATGCTATGCAAGCTTCACAATCAACACCTAACAAAAGTTCTAAGCTGGTATTTCTTATGAATCCATCGCTAAATGTACGAGATCGAAAATTTGTAGTGTGTAACCCACGTCGCGGGTCACAATCCGACGGTGGGTTTCCGACCGTAACACCGTGGCCGCTGGCTTCTCCATCAACCATTGTAGAGGCATCTCGGTTCACTTGGATTACGCGTGGTTGTCTGAATACCCTGCTGTCGCTTCGAACAGAACTTCTTGATGGGGATGGGGATGGTCGTTTAAAGTTGACAACTTCAATCATGTTACATAGAATAAGCTAAAAAAACTGAAACAAAATCATAAAACAACATTATTACGTTCAATTTGATACAAGCATATCTCTTAACTTGTAAGTAGTTATAAGTAAATGTAGTTTATTAGGTAAATATGGTAAGTATGGTTTTGTAGGTAAATACTTAAATTGATTTTTGATTTTACAGAACTTTGAAAAAATATGTTTGAAATTATATATTGATTATGTACATATTACGTAGATATATTTACACTTTGTGTGTACTTACTAATTGTAGTTTTGATACAATACTTTAATCTTAAATCTAGTATTTGCTAGGTGCGTCTTACTGTTTCTAGTTAATAATTGATAAACAATAAAATACGTGTCATTGATACAGGATAAAAATAGTGTTTAAGGATAAATCCTGCAGCCCTTTGAATAAAATTGAGTCGTACGATGGCTCCTTTCTCGTGACTGGCAAAAACCCAACAATTTGTAAATAAATTCGAGTTTACAATGGTCATATTATTTTCTCCTATTTTTCAGTAATATTCTTTTATTGAGATATGTAAAGGTAATAAACGCTTTATTTGTTTGTTTTTGATGAAGTAACGATATAAAGTAAAGTAAAAGTTAGAGAGTGTACACGACATTGCAATCTTTACACTTTTCTGTTTGTTTACTTTAACTGTTATTTATTGCTTATTGGTTATATTATAAATCTTTGTAATATTATCACGTCAACCATAAACTTTACTTGGGTGGTTCAAGATTTCTCTACACTCTGCGCAATCTTCATCCCAGGAGATTTTGACAGCGCCGCATACTTACGCTGTTTGCTGAACCTCATTTTTTATTAATAATTTTACTGAAGTTTCAAATATGAACAGCTTAACGTTAACAACTTGTCGTCTTAAATAATATAGATCATAATTCAAACTTCAAATAATTTTACATAACAAGCTTTGTTAACACCGAATGTTTGATTTCATTGTTTACATAATTATATGTATGTATACTTGTCATAATATTATTTTCTTTGTTTCGTCAATACAATTCACCAATTAACAATGCTAACGCCAGAAAAATGCAGTTGGCTCTATACCAATTTCCTTTTATGATATAATACATGTATGCATTATGTAATAGCTAACTCTAGCAACATTGCATTGAAAAGTATGCAGCCTAATTAAAACTAAGTACTTTTCCCAGTTTGATCTCGCGTTTTATATTGTCATTATTTTATTAATTATAGGGTTCGCAAAAACCGAAGAAAACTCGTTATATGAGGAGTCCCATAATACTATACCACAATAAATAGTAAATGTTTTTTTTTTCATTCAACTTGTATAACAAAAAGTTGATTATTTTTGTCCTGACGAACGTCGATGGCACTACTAATTCACACTCACACACTCACTTTGATTTAAAACCAAAGGTACCACTTTAATTCTTAAATTCTTTAAACTAAATTTTACACACGGAACCCGTATTGCGTTCAATGAAAGTCATGTCGTCGTCGGGATCGAGCGCCTGACGACTCTACGATGTTCGCAAGTAAGCCATTTTTGTTTATATTTGTTTTGCCGCTGTGGGTATGACAATACAGCCTTTGTGTCGACTGCTCGTTTTGGTGTTCATTATTACCAGATTATTTATATGTTCGCCTAGTGAGAAAATTGTATGGTTCTTGTTGTATATATTTTATAAATAATGTTTATGTTAATGTAGAATTTCCATCGTAACAGTCAGATATTAGCTACATTAGAATTTTGAAAGACTTGCCACTTCTTCTACACTGCCTACATAGAAATTGAACAATTGTAGTTTTGCAACATGGAAAATTTACTTACAGGAGTAAAGACATTTTTTTTTGGTCACTAGTTGACCCGGCAGACTTCGTTGTGCCTCAAAAATACCTAAACTTTTGTATAGAATAAACTTAAACAAAAAAAAGGAATCCGTCCGACGGGGGACACATCAAAGGGAAAACAAAATTGTTATTTTTATTTAATTCCGAGCTTTTTTATATTTATCTACATTTTAAACCATCTCTGGTTTTCAAGACCAAAATTAGCCAAATCGGTCCAGCCGTTCTCGAGTTTTAGCGAGACTAACGAACAGCAATTAATTTTTACAGATATAGATTTAGACAGATGAACATGCCCATCTGATGGTGATAAGCTACCGTCGCTCATGAACGTCAGCAATGCCAGGAGACAGCCAAGACCTACCGTTCAGTAATTACTTGCACGAGGAAATAAGTACTGAAGGACTTGTAGTTACATTTTTTTCAATTAGGAGAGACTTCTAAAGTTGAAGCTTTAATGTAATGTCTTAAGGTGGTTAACGGTGGTATTGAGCTGTGCTCATAGCCTGTATACAGTCATTGATTAGTTTAGGTAGGTATGAACATGAGTTCTTAGTACCGTATTGAGCACTATTGCACTGATCATGGTCAACGAGCTCACGGCTCACCTGGAAATCAGTGGTTAACGAAACGCATAGACATTACGATCTCAAAGCCACTGCACGAACTGGAGTCGAGGCTTAAGTCTCAAACATACAGGATACAACCCTTACACTCTCACAACGGATACAACCTTCGAACCGGATCGCATGATTGCTTCACGGTAGAATTAATTAATCAAGACTCCTTACGCAAAGAAGTTGGTATTTGGTAGTTTTTCTATTTCTTAATATTTGGATGTAAAGAAACATATCTGCATTTTAATTATGAAAAATTGATGAGGAAGTATAAAAACGTTCATCTACAAGATTACGAGTTAATGAACATTTTGTTGCTAAAATGTTTGTCTCTGTCGGTCTTTACTTTCTACATAAAAAAGTATACAATGTTAGCGTTTGACACTATATTTATATACTCAGTATAAGAATGATGTCTTTCTACGTGTGTTACGAATATGGCCATCTCTCAGTCAGACCTTTATTGTTTGGTCGATTCTGAACATCGTTCCATTAGCAGAATAATGGAAATACCTGAGGAGGGAAAATAAAATGTGGAGGACGGGTTTTTCAGTGCCCAAGCAGCCATTTGTAAGAGCTCAAGAGAAATGCTTATCCGTCCAGAAAAATAATCGTGAGTGAGCCAGTTTTACTTCACCAGATTTATAAACTACCACTCTAGAAATATTGATCTATGTCCAGAGCAGAATTAACAATACCAGCCTAATAATATTTAATTTAACATATTTTTTTTCTATCACGTTCAATATATTTTATTTCTGATTCTGTAAAAAGTCGTTAGGTTTTAGGAATTTTCAGTTTTATAAATTTTTTATATTTTGTAAGTACATGAACCTTCCAATGTTAAGGAATCGATAAAAAGAAGATCTTTCCCTGAGTGAGTGAAATTGCTCGGTAGACCGACGGTTTGAATGTTATTTTCGGAACTTATATAAATATATTATGCAAATTTATCTTGAAAATGTCATATACGCGATTAAGGCATCTTCTGCTCCATGATAGCTATCGCTTGAAATGAATAGGTTAATTAACCAACACTGGTAAAAAAAAGTATGCTTTTATTTATTTTCCTGGATTAACTGCCGACGAACTCACTGCTCACCTGGTGCTAAAGGGACTCTATATGATGTACTACAACATGAATGCCCCTGCCTACCTGTAGACAGCGGCGACATCGGCCCCTGGCATTTCTGAAGTCCATGGGTGACGGTAACCACTCACCATCAGGTGGGCCGTATGCTCGTCTGCCTAAAAGGGCAATAAAAAAAAAAAAAAGACATTTAGTCGAACTTTGAATTGTATTCTTGTAGTGTTGTTTCCGGTAGAAATAATCTGAATGGTAGTAATAATCCACGCATGCGGGCCTCCAATTAGTCTCACATTCATTCTCTGTTTTCTTACACCTTCTGATTTTCTTTCCGCTGTGTCCTTTTCTAACAAGAAACTCAAGGGATCTAATAAGGTGACTGCGAAGGTTTCGTCATTGAGAATTTAATTAATGCCAAATTAAAACGAGGCCGCCCTAATTTTGTTCAGACGTCGTAAAGTTTTTAGATGCACCAAGTTAAGACCTCTCACAACTCGTACCTACTTTAAAATATTAATTTCAGTAAAAGCGTAATAGCCTCGACTATGCTGGTTAACATTAATGCCTTTCTGCATTTTACTGTAAAATCAAGAAATCTATTTTTTGTCTTTGTCTAATATACCTCTAAAATGGAGATTTTTGTTTTCGAAATTCCGAATATAAACTCACATATGAGAGAGTTCCATTACGGCTTTCTATAAAAAATATTTTCTTTTTTTTATTGCTGAAATGAGTGATTCAACTGATAGCCTACCTGGTGTTAAGTGATTACCAGAACTTATAACAAGATAAATGCCGCTACCCACCTTAAGATATGAGTTGTAAGTTTCAGTTCTATTCTTCAGTTCTATCTATATTCTATATAACGTATAGATTGAAATAAAAATAATGGAGTAACAATGATTTTGAGACCCGTAAGCATACCTTACGATAGGCCACGGTTGCGATGACATTGTAAAAACTACCAAATTCAGGAATCTAACTGCCCACCGCTGCAAGGGAATGGAGGATGCCTTGACCCAAAAGGGTCCCCAAAGTCTTGATTTTCATATTTTAATGAACTCTTTTTGTAAGCAAATTCGTAATCTGCTTGATATCATTAGGTTTCTTAAGATGTAGAAAAACGAAGTATTAAATTTTTTTTTAATTTTTTTTTATTCTTTATTAGAGCCATACATACACCTATTAGGTTAAGTCGGCTAGTATTTTTAATAAAATTTATATTTTTTTATAATTCCTGAAGCCTATATGGGTAAGTAATACTGCGAAGCAATCATGCCTTTCAATTTGATGCGTAGGGCAGTAGCTATATAATACAATTGAAATTCGGCCTCAAAGCTCAAGGTGGGTGGCATTCATGTTATGATGCCTGGACTAAGCTTGGGCGCGATCACGATGTACCAAGTATGGTTGTTTTTATGTACCAACGAGGTACTAATAATTTTACAGTTAA